CTGCCTTTTGGGTCAGCATTTCCAGGTATGGAAGTCACACCTTTATCTGCTTTGCAGCAGGAAGAAAAAAAAAAAGATTCCCACTCCCGAAATTGCAGTGCTGAGTTGTTCTATGTAACATATGGGATTTTTCATAACAAAGTTTTTCTGCTTTAAACCTTAGCAGATCGTAGCAGAGCTTCGTCTTTAAACCCTGCTTTGTCTGGTCCATTCGGAGAACTCTTTTCCCCACTGGGCTCCTCGCAGTGTTGTGCAGGGTATGTGCACACAGTGCTGTTGTCGCCCTGTCCCATGGGCTGGTGCTTTTCCAGAGGGGACTCCAGCTGAAAGCAGCAGCTATGGAATAGGTTCTGAAAGCAGACCTCTGCACGGAGATATTTTGGGTTGTTTCAGTGGGTCGGTGCTGAGTGGGGACGAGAGGAGGGGAACCAGGAGAGCCCAGAATGGGCTGCGGTGTGGGAGCACTGATAGGGTGTTATGGAGAGCACCGAAGGGCAAAGCAGATGGCGATCTGCAGTCTGCCGTCAGGAATCAATTATTAATCTTATTTCCCTTATTAACTGCTTTCTGGACTGGTTGCAAATGATAACATACTTTGCTCTTTCAAGTTTCTCTATCTGAGCACTGCACCGAATTGCGATTTAAAGCGAAGCAGCTGTGTGTGGGAGAGGAGGAGATGGCAGAGGAGATGCACGCGTTTATTTTTGATGTACGAAGCTCCGGTCCCAGGCTCAGCAGCTCGCAGTGCCGCGGGGCTCTGCACGAGGCGCCGTCCTTCCCTCCCACCACGGCCTGCAGGTCGCAGCTTGGCTGTGCCATACACCCAGCAACACGGGGTGAAAGCTGACTTCAGAGCTCTCTGTCACCCCCTAAGGAGGACTGAGTACCCCATCCCCGTGTTTCCTTGGGCTGCTGCCAGCTGCCCCATCCCAGAGGCTTCCTGCCTTCCTCCTCCATCGCTTCCTGATGCCACAGTGCTGCAACAAGGTACGCTGGTGGGTCCTTCCTTGGTTTAGTTCTGAGGGTTGGGAACTGCCTGGAAGCGGTGCTGGAGCTGCAGTGAGCTGCTGGAAGCTGCATGCAGGCAGCTCCATGCAGCTCTTGGAGCTGCAGAGGTGCTCTGCAGATGGCTCAGAGCTGGCGAGGGGAGGGAATGGCGACCTCAGAGCAGAGGGAAGATGTTAATAAAATTTAAATGTAATTCTTCCCATTTCTCGGTGCCTAAATGTGAAAAATATTAGCTTGGTGGAGACTGGAAACAGATGGTGAGCAGTTGGAGCAGATAAGCATGTTATTCAAAATAAACATTCAGCAAAGCTGGGAGGTGGCGAGCCATATTTCACTTCACCCTATTTACTTGAGCAGGTCAGGTTACACGGGTGCTGCTTCTCTTTGCATGCAGATTGCCTGTCAGGAGCTGCAGAGCCAGCTGCAGCACGGTGTGAGCGTGGTGCCTGAAGCAGGACAGAGCTCTGGGGCCTTTTCTCCAGGGTAATGTATAGGGTTGTGTTGAAGCAGCTCTCCTAGGCTGTGGCGAGGGTTCTGCTGCCCTGTGGCACCGGAGTCCTTTGCTTTGCTCTTTCAGATGGTCTCTTTTGGCACCTGGACAGGCTTTGCTTTATCTTAAAGCTGTGATTTGATTCCCATTTCAGTGGGGTTGCTCAGCCTCTGCTTCTAGGAAGGCTTTGTCTGGCTGAGCGGCTGGAGCTCTGTGACTGTGTTACATATGAGGCTCAGGTCAGAGGAAGCAGTGGTGCCTGCAGAGCGTGGTTTGTCTCCTGGCACTGCTGGGCACCCAGGGGTGGGCCGTGCCATGTGCTGTGATCTGTGCCCATATGCCCAGCACGCTGCTGGTGTGGCAGCTTGGGCTCTGAGCCTCGAGGAGTGGCTGCTTCAGTCTTGTCTGTTCTGTGATATATTTGTGCACACTTTCATGTGTACTACGTGGAAGTTGAAGGTGCTTACTTCAATTAAACCTCTTCTCTCTGTCTGAAACTGTCACCTACTTTTATTCTTCTGACTCTGAACTGTTGTTCAAAAGACACCAACTGGCTAAACTCACAGACCTCACCTCCAACCTTGAGTGGCCAAAGCCTTGATACAGTCTTCTTGTGACACGGCTCTCTCCACCCTGCCACCTGCAAAAGCAAAAAGCACATCCTGATGCGTGCATTACAGCCAGCCGTGCAGTGCTGTGCCATGCTCAGCATGCTTTTCCCTCACTCCTTCCAATGTGTTCCCTGTTTTGACTTCTCGGAAAGCTACAGCCTGCTAAGCTGGAGTGCCTGAGCCCAGTGAACGGAGCTGTGAGGAAGCAGCAGGGCTCTGTGCAGCTGTTGTCAGCCCGGGTGCAGCAGGTTCCTCCTTCATCCTGAGCCCTAGCCAAGGGCATCCCACACCTGCATCAACAGCACCTGGGTCTGCCCCCATCCACGCTGTGTTTCCTCAGCCACAGGCTCAGATCTGCTTTCCATCAAGGAGCAGGAAAGGCTTTGCCGTCTGCAGCTGACAGCAGGGCTTAACAGCCTACAGATATTGCCTGTGCTTGTGCGTAGGGCTTGTGGTATGGTGTTAAGTTGTGCACGTATAAATATTATCACAGAAATGTGTATGAAGCGTCCACGTGCTGTGTGCTGTCTCAGTGCTGTTGCTCTCTCCCTGTGCTCTTTGCTCCCTGTGCTCGTGGCTCAGCATTGCAGCCAGCTCAGGGCTTTGGCTTTGTGTGGATCTGTGCAGCAAAATTGCAGTGGGGAGAGGTGTGGGGCATTGCCTGTCCCCCCGAGCTGCCCCACAGCCCTTGCCTGGCTGTACAGGGAGGCAGTGCCCTCTTCTCACCTTGCAGTATTTTTCTTTCTTTTTGTTACTTTGTTCTCTGATTACTGAAGGCATTTAGTATTATTAATGTGAGTTCCAGAGGGGTTGGGATGCTCCCTGGCTTGTGGCTCTTTTCACCCGTGCCTTTTCTTGAACTCACAAGCAGGGAGAGATTACTAAAGCAGCTTCTATATACAGTTTACAGCGCAAGCAAATGTTAGCCATTCTTCTGAGGTTACCTATCATAGCAACACTCTCTTTGCACTAAACACAGTAGTCAGAAGGCTTCTGTAAGGGGAATCACTGAGTGTGGGCTCTTGGGGCAGGCGCCCGCCCCACATGGGCACACTGCACAGACTGTGTGCCATAGCTGTCCCGCTCCAGGCAGGAGCTCTGCAGCATCTGAAAGCCGTGACTCCAAGCGCTGCAGGATCTGCCCCATCAGCTTCCTGAGGATGTGGCATTCCTGCACCGAGCTGGGCTTAAAACAGTGTCTCCATGCTCAGGTTTTTCTCTGCTTCTGGTGAATCATCCTCCTGTGTGATGTCCCAATGCTTCCATGTCTATGGAGGAGCCCCCCATGGGACCGCAGTGCTGCAGCCCCTCTGTGATTCAAATCGCTGTTCCTGGGTCACTGTGTCATCCCCAGGTCGGGTCAGTTGGCAGCAATGTTAAGAGCAATGTGCCATAAATGTGCTCAGTCCGTGTGCTGCAGGCACTGCTGGAAAAACAGACGCAACATTTGTAAGCATTTCGAGAAGAGCTGCATGGGAGCACTCAGCACCTGGGCTGGAACCAGCCTTGCTGATGGAAAATCCATCAGTGTCCCAGGGCAGGCAGGTGTCCTGCTTGATGCTTGGGGCATTCAGCCATCAGCAAGGATGGGCCTTGGTGCAATGTGACCCAGGGAGCTGCGCTGGTGTTCAGCTCTCAGCCACGATTCCAGCTGTGCTGGGACCTGCAGCATCTCCTGTGCCTCTGGAGGCAGCACGGCTGTGTTGCCATTGGTGAGCCGGTAAATATTTCTAAATAGTGAAATGTGCAAGGAGGGGGTGGGGAAGGCAGTGTCTACATGGGACAAAGGCTGTCTGGTTTTCAGTCCTGGTCAGCCAGGGGCTGGCTCGCATCCTCGCTCACAGCCTGTTTTGCAGGCCTGGTTCTCATGAAATGGATGTGGTTAGGCTAAAACTGAGTTTCAGAAGGATGGGTTTTATCTGGGTTTTAGAGGCCCCAGGAGTTTAGCAGGAAGCTTTACGCTTATCAGCCCTGCCTGGTCCTTGCTGTCTGTTGGAGCACATCCGAAGGTGAGGTGCTGGCTCCTCCAGTCTTGGCTTTCATAGAACTGTAGAATGGTTTGAGGTGGAAGGGATCTTTAAACATAGTCCCATACCCCTGTGAACAGAGACACCCACAGCTCCATCAGGTGCTCAGAGCCCAGTCCAGCCTGACCTTGGTGTCACCAGGGACAGGGCACCCACCACCTCCCAGGGCACCCTGTCCCAGTGCCTCACCACCCTCCTTGTGGATAACTTCTTTCTCATTTGGTAGCACAGCGCTAGCTGGTTATATTCTAGGGAATCAAATCTGTGGCTCTTCTTCCCCCTCTGCAGTTTAACCAGGTTAGTCCTGCTTTCTTTGCTGGTGCTTCCATGCTGCGTGTGGCGTGCCCAAGGAATGCTTTAGGAGAACAGAAAAAAAAAAGACCTTTAAGATTTGTTTCAGGCTCAGTTTCTCTCCGTGGCAAAATCCAGTTGTGTAAGTACACAGTGGAGGAGGGGAAGAAGAGGAATCAAGATGGACGTGTGGCCATGTTCTGGTGCCCAAAGCTAGGAGCTGAGGACAAGGGGCAAGGGGGTACCAGGGCTCTGCACCAAGCCAGGGCAGCTCCTGCGCACATAGCAGTGCTCCTCCAGCTGTTACTGGTGTGAGTGCTGTGGCCGTGCAGCAGTGTGCCAGTGAGAGACACGTGGTGTGAAAGCATGGCCAGGTGTGTGTGAGTCGTGTTTGGCAGTGTTACATTAGTGCTGTTATTTTATTATAGTTAAAATAAGAGCGGCTTGTTGTGGTTTCGGTATCCCTCCGCAGTTTTAATGGAGGGAAAGCCTTTGCAGTTCTGTGCTTCTTGTGCTCGGCAGGGCAATCCCTGTGAGGATTGTTGGTAACGTGTCCATGTTCTCTTTGTACAGTTGCTGGTGAGAAGAGGGTGCCAGTGATGCCCGGCTCGCCCGTGGAAGTGAAGATACAGACCAGGTCCTCTCCTCCCAATATGCCGCCACTGCCCCCCGTCAACCCTGGCGGCCCTCGGCCCGTCTCCTTCACCCCAGCTGCACGTAAGCCCCCACTAAATCGCTTTGCCCAGGGACTGGCCCGGCAACGAGGAGCTCTGCTTGTGCCAGCATCTGGCAGGGCTCCCTGTTTGCCAGGCTGCTGGCCAGCACAGAGCTGCGCAGCTGGGAGCGAGGGCTGGGGCTTTCCTTCTGCTTATGTAGGACGTACCATGGGGTCTGTACAACCCTGCCCGTTCCTGCTTTGTCCCAGTGTTGTCACAGTCTCTCCAAGTCCGTCTCCATGCAGGTGCAGATGTGATTTCTGCAATAACCTCCTTAAGGCTTTTATCAGGTTGGCTTCAAAGAAGCCAGGAGCTGAGCTTTGTGCTGTATCTGGCAGAGTTAATTCCCACTCTGCTGTATCTCGCTTTGCAGACAGCGTTTCTGCAGCTGAGATTAGAAAGTTTTCCTCTTTTAATTTCACAGCCTTGGAAATTTCTCACTGTCTTTCCAAGTTCTCTGTTCTCCATCTTTGCTCCATAACCTCTCCCGTTAAGCTGCAGGGCGCTGCTTGGAGGCAGCTCACCAGGTGGGATGGGTGTTCAGCCCCACCTTGCAAGAAGAGCACAGGCTCATGCTTTTTCCTTTTAGAAAACATTTAAGCCATCATCTTAAAATCTCATCATCTAAAAGCATTATTTTAGGACACAGCTGTTTTACTTCACACTCAAGCATGGAATTACCTTACCCCACTCATGGCACACGGACGTTTCATTCTCTCCTCACCCTTATTCCATACTGAGGTTCCCTGGCTGTGTGTGTATTGCTCTGCTACCCACAGCAGTGTCTGGGGCATCTCCATTTCATCTTGGCAGGGGATTTCACAGCGTTGCCATTCAGTCTCTTTCAGGACACCAGCTAATGCACTGAGAGATGCTGGCAGCAGTGCTAATCATTGGGTTATCCCGCCAGACACGTTGTCCCTGGCTTTATACACGGAGGGTTTTTTAATGGCTCTCCTTTTGCTAAGGCAGAAAAAGACCATAAGCAGAGTGATAGAAATTAATTTTTCCAATAAGGCTGCTTGGCACTCTGTTAAGGGCCAAGTCACCTGAATCTGCTGAGGCCTGATGACTTCGCTGCCTCTTTTCAGTAGGGCAAGCACTACAAGCTGTGATGAAGTCTACTCGTGCTTTTCACTTCTTGGCTGTGCACAGAGGCAGTGCTCAGAGCCACCCTTTGCACGCCCTGCACTGTGAAGGGATGTAAACACAAGGAGAGACAGTTTGGTACCTATTGCAGAATTTAGTGGTGTAGCCCTCGAGGATGACTTTCATATTCCTGCTCACCCTGTGCTCCCCTGCAGCCCCTGCCCCTTCCTGCCCACACGCAGCAACCTCCACTGTCCTTCTTCCCTTGCTAAGAGCAAGAGGAAAGAAACGGGGAACGGGGCAGAGCTCCTTGGCTGCAGCCTCTGGAGGGCACAAGGCTGTGCATTACTGCTCTGCTTGGGGTGGCTTTACCTCTCTTTATTACATGTTTACTGCAGAACCAATGCTTGTTGTGAGTACTTGCCATTGCCTTTTAAATGAGCTCAATATTTGCTGCTATGGCAGGTACTGCTGATCTCTGCAGGTCATCTCTGTTCCTTTCCTGGCCTGGGGAAGTGTGGCGGGGAGTTTCTCTGGTTGCACTGACCTAGAACAGAAGGCATCAGCCCGTTTCACCTTCACAGCTCTGTCCTCAGTCTTTACATTAATTTCATCGTTTCTCTCTGCACAAAGGAGTGTGTCTTTGTTATGCCCCAGAAAAGCCTTTTGCCCTGGTTGCTGTCTTCACCCTTATCTTTCCTTTGGATCTCAACTGACTGTGCTTCCTCTTTCCGTGCTCACCCCACAGCTCCAGGTGTGTGGAGCCTTGCTGTGCCTCAGGGTGGTTTAACTGCTCCAATGCCTCTGTACTTTTCTCTGAAAAACCCTCCCAGGTGTGATTCTTTGGAAGACCCAAGGAGCAATCCTGGGGAAGCTGCAGTGGGAATGTTGGCATCTTTGGCAGGCTGCGTTCCTTTGAGGCCAGCACACACCTTCCCATGCCTGTGGCAGCTCTACTAGGAGGGGCTTTGGGTGCTTTTCCTCCCCCCACCGTAAGCTGGCTGCCCTCAGCTTAGGCTGCCCAGGGCCTCTGGCACCTGCAGGAATGGGCACCCACAGCTCTGGGCAGCATTGCCAGCACCACACCCCTCGGGGTAATGAGTTTTTTCCTAACATCTGACCTAAATCTCCCTGCTTTTAGTTTAAAGCCGTTCCCCCTTGTCCTGTCACTATCTGCCTGTGTAAAAAGTTGCTCCCTTCCTTTTTATAAACTCCCTTCAGGTACAGGAAGGCCACAGTGAGGTCACTCTGAAGCCGTGCCTTTTCCAGGCCAGCAGCCCTGGCTCCCTCAGCCTGTCTCCATAGGAGAGGTGCACAGTTCAGCTCTGGACTTTTAAGGCCAGCCCTGTGCATCAGCCACAGCTGTATTTACCGTGGTGTATTTTTCACCTCTAACATTCTGGGTTTATCTGAAGTTTGGGCCCCCCATGCACAGCTGCTTTCACCATTTCCCAGACTTCAGATTGCACAACAGCACTGAGGGGATGTCAACAATTTATTCTAATCCCATGCGGACTTCCCAAGCTGCAGTCAGTTTCATCACGCCTTCTGCTTAAAGGAGACACGATCACAGATGGGACTGGTTTGGACAAACAGCCACGTCTGCCAAACTCCCTTCAGCCCCACGGGGAGTATGGTCACACTGCAGGCGGGACGCAGCCCTCAGGGCTGTGCCCATCTCGTGCCATAACACTTTTGTCTCCATTCTGCAGTGCCCAACGGGATGAACCATTCCCCCCCGACGCTCAATGGGGCACCATCCCCACCCCAGCGCTTTGGCAACGGCCCGGCCTCCTCTTCCTCTTCCTCACTGACCAACCAGCAGCTCCCGGCCACGTGCGGCGCACGGCAGCTCAGCAAGCTGAAACGCTTCCTCACCACCCTGCAGCAGTTTGGCAATGACATCTCTCCAGAGATCGGGGAGAAGGTGCGGACCCTGGTCCTGGCCCTGGTGGTAAGCTGCTCCCCGGGAAGCCAGGGGACATTTCTTTTTGCAAAAGTGCTGTAGTGATGGGATCCCAGCAGCCAGCACGTGCCCCCATTGCACAACATCATGGGCCTTTGCAAGCAGAGATGTTGGCTAAGCACAGCTTGTGTTGTTTGTGCTTTCTGGTAAATGCACTGTCTTTTTTTTTGTTTTCTTCAGTGGATTTCAAAAGCAATCTGTCCCACTGCACTGACATGAGCCCAGGTGCAGCTGAGCTTATGGAAACCCAGAGGGCTTGGGACTATACTTTGTTGTAGAAGCTGCATGCCTGGTGCTCTTTGCCTTCCTCACTAGAAGCCATGAGCAATGCTGTGCTTCCTGGTCTGCTCCCAGCAACTCCCAGGAGCCCTTTTCTGCCAGGGAAGCGTTCTCTTCTTTGCACCCCTAAGCCCAGAGCAGAAGGGTTGTGTGATTTCTGGTGAGGCGATGGTGCTTCCATGCCCGAGCACCTTTGCAAATACAGATGAATGGCTTTGGGTGCTGTTTTGGAAAGAGCATCTTGCAGGGAGCTTTTGGGCCTTGCATGCTGGGCCACCATCCTGTTTGTTGCAGCTCTGCAGGTGCTGCATGCACAACTTGCTGGGGGGAGAAAGGGTGATGCTGAGCTGTAGGGGTGCTCTCTGTGCCTGCTGCTTTTTGAAAGAAATCCATTTCTAAGCCTTGAACATGTAGAGGATGTCTCAATGCTTCAAGCACCTCACTTGTGATACGCAGTGCTGAGCATAGGGGGGCATTTAGTGGGCTTTTTCCATCCTGCATACTGCAGTGCAGCCCCACTAGCACTGCCGAGGCCTGGGGAAGATAGAAAGCCTGGCACTGCAGCAGGAGGCCTCAGTGCTTTCCCTGCACCTACAAGAAGTGCATGGCTGGGCAAACTGTCACTGAGCTGCATTCATTTTTATGGCAGCCTGACAGTGCAGTAGCAGGAAGGGGATTGGTAAGTGACTTTTTGCATCTTCTGTGCTTGGGCATGCAAGAGCTAGGGTTGCTGCTGCTGGTGCACCCAGTGCACACACTGCCCCTCTGCATGTAAGGAGAGCTGAAAACATCCTTCAGAAAGAAATGAACAGGCCTTGCAGGATTGGATGCAGTACTTGCAGTGGTACGAGTTGACTGGTAGGAATGCTGCCCAGCCCTGTGCACGCTCAGCCAAGGTCCTGGAGCACAGCCTTGTGCCAGCTGCCACCTGGTGCATGGCCCAGCACAGCTCTGAGCTGATCTCTGCTTTTGGCAGCCTTGCTCAGAGGCTGAGCATGCAGCAAACACAGCTGGGCCATGGGCAGCCTGAAGTACTGCTGCTCCCCAGGTTGGCATGGGCAGAGCATACACGAGTTTGTTTGCAGCCTCGGGGTTCTTCACAGGCACCAAATGTTGTTGCTGAAGCAGGCAAGCACTTGTCTGTATTTCCATGGGTGCAAGGCAGCACATTAGTTTACCCACCAGTGAAAGAAATTACAAAGTGTTCAAGTTCCTCTGCTCATCGCTGTCCCCCCTGATGGCAGTTATTGCTGCAGGGATAAACTTTGTGTGTGCAGCTTGTTCCAGATAGCACCCAAGCTGGGAACATCAGTATAGGAGCAGCAGGCTGCTGACCTTGTGGATGGTGGATGGTTTGGGTGAGCTGAGCTGGAAGAGAGGGAAGAAGCAGCTGGAGCTGTTGCTCATCCCCAGCCTGCCCTGGGCCGCCTGGCTGGGCTGCAGGAGGTGCCAGCTGGGCTTGCTGCCTCCTGCTCTGGTGCTGGCAGTGCCCACAGCCCCCCATGTTTGGTGCAGTCGTTCTGCTCCGTTGGCCTGAGTCTGTTTGGCTGTGTGAGGCAGGATCTGGTGTGAGCGTTCTCAGTCCTGTTGTGGCAGATGCAGTCTCCTTTCTAGTTCTGTTCGTTTTGAGCTGTTTTCCAAGCATCTAAAAATAAGAACAAACAGTCATTTCATTTCTTAATTCTTTTCTCAGAACTCAACAGTGACGATTGAGGAATTTCACTGCAAGCTGCAAGAGGCGACGAACTTCCCCCTGCGGCCGTTTGTGATCCCCTTCCTGAAGGTGACAGGAGCTGGTGGGGCGGGCTGGCAGTGCTGTGCAGGGCTGTGCTGCTTGGCAGCGTGTCCCTGCTGGGGAAGCTCTCATAACAAGCTCCACAACTATTCTTATCCAAGACAGACTGCGCAGACCATGGCCTTTGCCACGTGCTACTGGCTCGCAGAAAGCTGACTTTGTAATAAGAGCCACGTATGTCTGCTTGTGTGCTAGGGGTAAATGAGACAAACCCATCTCCATTCTGCAGTTTGAAAATGTTGGGATCTAGAGTGTTTGAGGTGTTGGCTTATTGTGTCTGGGGCAGCGAGATGCTGGGAGCACGGAGTGCTTCCCACAGTGCTTTTGTGTCTGCCGGCCCCAGGCCATCCCCAGCCCCTGAGAAAACACAGGTAGGTCTGCCCAGAGCAGACGTGACAAGCGGGGAAGTGCTGAGCAGGGCCCCGGGCTCGAGCTGTTCATGCTCTCTGAGCAAAGCTGCTCGTGTCCGTGCAGGCTGCGTGAAGCAGAGCCGTGATGTTTTCCAGGCCAACCTCCCTCTGCTCCAGAGAGAGCTGCTGCACTGCGCCCGGGCTGCCAAGCAGACGCCATCCCAGTACCTGGCGCAGCACGAGCACATCCTTCTCAACACCGCCTCCTCCCCGGCCGACTCTTCGGAGCTGCTCATCGAGGTCAACGGGAACAGCAAGAGGCACAGCCCTGACAGGTAGAGGAGCCTTTGCCACTCTGTTCCCACAGTCATGTTTTTGGACAGCAGTGAAGGTGAATTAGAACTTTAAACTGTGTTCTGGGCCAAACGTAGGATCTTAGCGCTCCTTACAGCTGTTGGTGAGGCACTGCTGTCTATGGCTGTAGCTCCTGCTTGTAGCACTGATCATTTGGCTGCAGACCCTCTCCAGGGGCTCTCAGGCAGACCCTGCCCACGGGGATTTGTTTGGGAGCAGGTCACCCAGGTGCCTGAGCCAGGAGGCAGCAGGTGGAGGCACTTTCAGCACAGGGAAGGACGCGGTTTTGTTTTCGCTGCCTTTATTCCAAGTAAAAGTCGTTATGTAATTATGTGGAGCACACTTCAAATTTATAGAAGCTGTGAAATCTTAATTTGGTTGTGCTCAGAAAGATGAATCACAACACTTGGGCATTTTTTGAACTCCTTTTAGCAAGGTCATTCCGTGGATTTGTTCACAAGTCGATCGTGTTTGTTTCAGCTCCCTCCTTCACCCCTCCGGTAAAATCATCACTGCCCAAATTCCGCTGTTTCAATTTGTTCATCTTTCCCTTCCCTGTTTATGCAGCGTTAATGAAACCCTGTGTCTCTTGGTGTGGTTACAGAAGGGATGACAGCAGCTTTGAGAGAGAGCCACTGCCGACGGAGCCGCCTGCCAAGCGTGTGTGCACCATCAGCCCTGCGCCCCGGCACAGCCCAGCACTCAGCATCCCAATGCTGAACCCTGGTGGGCAGTTCCACCCCACCCCACCGCCCCTCCAGCACTACACCTTGGAAGACATCGCCACCTCCCATCTGTACAGAGACCCTGGCAAGATGCTGGAGCACAGGGAGATCCGGGACAGGCACGGCGGGCTCGGTGAGCAGCTCTGCAGGGCTTTGGGTTGTAATTCTTGGCGTGTCCCATAAGAAAGTTGAGAGGCTTTGCAGAGAAGTCAGAGAGAACGTCAAATAGCAAGAAATTAAAAGCAGGAAGACAGAGGGAGAGGCAGAGCTGCAGTTTCCTTCTGTGGGTAAAAGGCTGTAGCCACCAGGGGTGAGGAGCGAGCAGGACCTGGTGTTGGTGCTGACTGTGGCCAAGCCAGCATGCAGAGATGAAGGCTGTGGAAATAAATAGAAATTAACTTTTCAGAGATGACTGATGTAGGACATCTGTGGTGTGTGGGGAGAGCAGTGTGTGACCTCCCCTCTCTCCTGGTGCTGGTAGGGGTGTGTGGAAGCAACTGCCCTGTTTCCAGCCGGGCAACCTGAGTCACAGCTCAGAGCCCCTGTGGCTTTACAAGCGGGGAACTGCCTTTTCAGCAAGCCAGGTCCAGTCCTGTGAGGGGATTGTAGCACTTCTGAGGCAATGACACAAGCAAGGATCAGAGCAGCCGTATGCAATTAGCCCATGTCTTGGAGGTGTGTTTTAAAATTACATCTCTGCCTGGTTAGAAATCCTGCTCTGTTGTTGTTTTGGGGCCGAGGTCCCTCTGCAGCACTGAAAGCATTTGCTCCCTCTGATCACTCCTCCAACTGTGGTTTGTTGCAGGTTTGAATGGAGGTTACCAGGACGAGCTGGTGGACCACCGCCTGACTGAGAGGGAGTGGGCTGACGAGTGGAAGCACCTCGATCATGTAAGGAGCTGGGAGGTGTGGGAAGCTCTGTGGGACACAGCGACCCGCTGCTCACCTGCTCCAGTTAGTGATTTCCTTCTTGTTGATACGATACCTTATGCAGGCTTTAAAAGCAGTTGGACTGGCTGCCACAAGCAGTTCAGCAGGAGCAGTTTCCTGTTATTTTTTTCTCTGCCTGCTTCCCAGTGGAAGCCAAAACCAGTTTGAACCAAGTATCTGGTGCTGGAGAGCTGCTCCTGCTGGCTGTCAGAATAACCTGCACAGGTCAGAATAACCTGCACAGGTCTTCCAGCAGCTGCCCAGGCCAGCACTGTACCAACAAGCATGCAGATGTGTTGTGTGCAGCACATGTGTGGAACTTACAGATTAAAAACAAAACAAAACAACAAAACACAACAATGCTGGGGTTGGTTGAAGGCTTTTTCTCCTGGGTTGCCAGCCTGTATGGGGCAGGGTTGGGTATGGGCAGACTTGGTACTTCTGGCAGACTTTCTGCAGAGCCTGTTTTTCTGTGCTGAACAAGGCTGCTGACCCAAGCACTTCTCTGGAATGCTTCCCCTAAAGAAATGGAATTGGAATTCAGCTTTGATCAAAAATGTAGAGGGGCCCTATGCTCACTTATGCCCTAAAGCTGATGCTTCACGTGGGTGGATATGGAGCAGAAGGCCCTGTAGGTGAATATTTTAAGTTGGGATGTACCTATGGAGTGCTGGTACCAATTCCTCTGGGTTGGAGAGAGAGATGTCATGAATCGTAAAGACACATCCCCACTGCTGTGGGTCACAGGCAGCAGCACGGGCACTCTGCTCCCATGGGAGAACAGTTTATTCTCGCTCCACCTTGAGCAGCATGGCCACATCTGTTGGTGACCAAATCAGATGCTGAGCTCAGACACAGCCTGAGCTCCCAGGAGGTGGTAACACCCACAGCATCGCTGCTTGGATGGCCGTGGGACCCAAAAGGTATCTGTTTGAATACTGTCGAGATACCACATGATGCCACGAGATGCTCACATCCTTTTGCCGTGAAATAACTTTGGGTTTACTTTACTGGGACAGCCCCTGGGGCACCTGCAGTGGGGAACTCAACCAGCCTGGTTGAGCGGTGGCAGAAGAACTGACAGCCTGCCTCCCTCCAGGCACTGAACTGCATCATGGAGATGGTGGAGAAGACCCGGCGCTCCATGGCCGTGCTGCGGCGCTGCCAGGAGGCTGACCGTGAGGAGCTCAACTACTGGAAGAGGCGCTGCAGTGAGGCTGAGCCACGCAAGGCTGGGGGGGAGCTGGGCACAGCCAGGCACAGCCCCGGCAGCTCTGACTCCATCGGCAGCGGTGAGCGGTGCTGGGTGGGAAGCTGCACGAGAAAAAGGGTTTTATGTGAAAACGGGCCTGTAAATAATAGGCTTATGGCAAGGCATAATGGAGTACAACAGAAATGGATGGCAGTTTGGGTTGGAGGGGACCTTAAAGGACATCTACGTAGCTCCCGGCCGTGGGCTGGGTCGTCCCCCAGATCGGGCTGCTCAGAGTCCCCTCCATCCCAGCACTGGGCACCTCCAGGGACGGGGCACCCACAGCTCTGCAGGCAGCAGTGCCAGTGCCTCACTGCCCTCATTGTGAGCCATGTCTTCCTCGTGTCCAATTTAAATCTGCTCTCGTTTGGTTTCAAACCATTGCCCCTTAGTCTTGATACCTGAGGCCATGATTAAGAGTCTTTCTCCATCTCTCTTCTAAGCCCCTTTATATGAGGAAAGTCAAGCTTCCTTGGTTCTACCTCTGTGCCCTGTTCTGGCATTTCTTTCATACCTGTGGTGGGCAATGATTTCTTCTTCCAGCACAGCAGCTGACTGCTGGCTCTGAAACTCTTCAGACTGATGATGAGTCATTAAATAGAACATACTGGAAAGATGAGCTTGACTTCACTTAATGAAGTCATGGGGCGAAAGCTGCTAGTTGCTTTGGATGGCAATTCATCTGTCGTTGTGGCAGTCCTAAGCATTAACTTACAGGTGGAAAGCTGTCCTCACCCCCCCCAGTTTGAGAGCACATAGTTCTCACTGAAACCCAAATCATTTCTGACCTTGAGGACTTCAATGCATACAATTCTTAAAGCTCAGAAGCCCAGTTTGACCAACCTGATGTCACTGCAGGGCTTGGACCAGATGGCCTTTATGAGTAACCCCCCCCCAACTCTAACAATTCAGTATAAATATTCAACTTGTTTGGATTAATACATAAAGTGAATCCTCCTGGATGTCCAAAAGGGGTCTGGGTCAGGTTTAGCTGTGTTTGGATGAGTTTTGGGAGTTCTCAGACAGCAAAAATGAGTATTTGTAGCTCAGCCCTTGCCCTGCGGTGGGAACCCCACGCAGATCTGAATTGCAGAGCTGAAGGGGTCAATGGCTTTTAGAGTTTGGCTGAAAGGAGGCGGATGAGATTTCGAAGCATTAAAAAAGGACAGGGATAGAAGGCAGCACGAGAGTTCTGTAGTGTGGGCACAGATCCCCATGTGGGCATCCCCACGGCTGCTGTGCTGGCTGTGAGCTGCTGGGGGCCGGCGCTGGGGTCAGCACACAGCACTTGGTGGTGCGCCTGTATCTCCAGTTGGTGCAGAGTACCTGGAGATGGGAATGGGTTATACTGCATCATAAATTATGCAGGGCACTAATTAAGGACTGTGATTTATCATCCGAGCATCTGATGAACGGCTCCAACTGGAGGAACCCTCTACTGTGAGCTGTGCCCCGTTAACCCTCCCCGCCTCGCTCTTCTTCCAACAGATTCACTGCGGGAGTTCGGCAGCAGGTCGGGACCGGGCTACGTCACCGAGGAGATATGGAAGAAAGCAGGTGAGCCCTGGTTGTGGGATTGCCCAGGGTGAGCTCTGGCGCTGCAGTGCACTGACAGGAGCAGCCTGCCTACAGCACAGCCTGGCTGCACGCTGCTGCCTTGGCTCTGCCCCTGCGCGGTGCCGGCGGTGCGCCCAGGGCAGCCCATGCCCATGTTGTTGGGGAAGCGCAGCCGCAGAGTTCCTGGCAGGCTGGTGAGGCTGAGCTTCCCTTCCAGAAGAAGCTGTGAACGAGGTGAAGCGCCAGGCCATGTCGGAGGTGCAGAAGGCTGTGGCAGAGGCAGAGCAGAAGGCATTTGAGATGATCGCCTCTGAGAGGGCACGCATGGAGCAAACCATCGCCGACGCCAAGCGCCAGGCCACCGAGGATGCTTTCCTGGTGATCAATGAGCAGGAGGAGTCCACGGAGGTATGGAACTGGGCAGGCCCGCGAGTCCCAAGCCTTGGGTCCTGCTCTGCAGTGCCTGGGTGTCCCCTGCCTTCTTTCATCCCTCTTAAAAGCTCTGGGAGCATGGCGGTGGTGTGAGGGCACCGTCAGCAGAGTGTGGGGCCAGCTGTGGGGATTTCTGCAGAGAGAAAAGGGTGTTGGTGGGACAGCTTTACATCCTGCTCAGAAATGTGCTGCTGTGGAGTACTGACGTGTGCAGATAAGGAAGTGCTGTCTGTGGGCTTTGGGACTGTGCAGGGCAGCCACCAGATTCTGTGAGTGGTTGGAATTGCCGTTGCTCGGTGGCTGTGTTGTGCCTGTGGTGCTGCTGAACAGCACTGGGTGTGTGTTGTCTGGGACTTTGCTCTGCAGGCTCATGCTGCACAGGAGTGTGCCTGGCTGCCCTCTGGGATCTGGCTCTGCAGGGCTCTTGCTACTCTGACCCCCATAGGGTTCAGGGGAATTGTGCATAGGCTGGTTGTCCCCATACTGCAGAGTCTGAGGACACCCAGTGGGGTATGGCAGCTCAGAAAAGAGTGGGTGCCTTCAGGTTTGTCACAGCAGAATGTGGGGAGTGAGTGTCAGAGCTATTCTGATCCCTCAGCCATTAGGTACCCTCACTACTCTTTGGCTGGGAATGCATTCCATTTGGTTTTGGAGGTCTCAGAGGGGCTGAGCAGGAGCTGCTCAAGTAATTCCTGCTCTGCGATGTCACAGCCACCTGTGCCTGGCTCAGTGTTGTCACTTCTCTGCTCAAATGCTCCAGGCTTTGCCTGATTCTGCTCAGCAAAACTGAGAAGGGAGTGGGGAATTGTGTCACCCCAGGCCATGTGGGCAGCCAGTGTAGTTCTGTCCTCCCTTGGGATCCTCTGGGAGGCTCTGATCCCCGCACATGGCAGCAGCTGTGTGGACGTGGGGTGTTGTTATAGATGTCTGTGCTCTGGTACTTTCCCATGAGATCATTAAAGGATGAACCAATGCAGCAACCAGTAAACAGACAACAGGAGCAGGTGGAATTGCTTGAGGAGGACTGAGGTGAGCAGTGGTTTTCTGTAGGGGAATTTTTGGGGTGCATCCCCTCCTCTGCCTCCATCCTTTGCCCTACACTGCTGCACAGAGCAGTGGGAGCAGAGCGGGGACATGGGAGCTGATAGCACCCCTGATTGATCCTCCAGCACTGGGGACTCTTCTCTGGGGGCTTTACAAGCTGGCGTGCATCCTGGCACAGTGTGACCTGAGGAGCGTGGTTTAGCACAGTGGTTTGAAATGTCACTGCTTTAAGCTGCTTACACAGCTTTCCTAGAGCTGCTGTGGGCTTGGTGCTGGCAGCCTGCAAGTTGTCCCAGCGCAGCCCTGTGTGCTGCCTGCCCACCCTGCAGCCTCCTACTCCTGCCCACAGCACTGAGTGCTGGTGGCAGCTGCACTCCCCTCTGGGTGGGCGTTCACCATCACACGAGCCCAGCTGCAGCTCAGCTGCTCCCCCGCTCCCTTGAAGCAGCTGTGGCTGCAGCTCCAGCGTTGGCCCTGTGCTCTCACTGAGCTGGCTGTGGGCTGCAGGCCAGGGGCTGTGCTGTGCTCCTTGTCCCACTCACAGCCATGCTTCCACCCAGGGGCAGAGCAGTTGGTGGCGGAGCAGCACGCTGGGATCTCCGTGGTGAGCAATGGGCTGGGATTGAGACCAGAACAGAGCTGCTAGCAGCAGGAAATAGAAAAACCAGACAGCGTGTGTGTCAGTCTTCGCCTGCTGCGTCCTGCGTGCGTCTGGGTGGATGTGGGCAGAGTTGGGAGCGGGGCAGTGCGGTGCTCTGGGCTTGGCAGAGGTCTGTGGGAGGGCAGGACCCATTTCAGCATGAGCAAATGGGGGCTGGCGGGGGTGAGCGGTTCCCCCCAGCACCGTTGGGGCAGCAGCTCTGTTACGTTCCTACAGCTCTGTTTGCGAGACCCGTTTCCAAGCGCGACGTCTGCTTCCTTTCAGAGCTGCTGGAACTGCGGCCGCAAGGCCAGCGAGACGTGCAGCGGCTGCAACATCGCGCGCTACTGTGGCTCCTTCTGCCAGCACAAGGACTGGGAGCGGCACCACCGCATCTGCGGGCAGAGCCTGCATGGCCACAGCAAGGGGCTGGCACTGCCTGCAGGGCGCTCGGCCAAGGCCGGAGACGGCGTGCCCAGCCCCAGCATGGAGAAGAGCTCTGCGGCCACCTCCCGCTCCTCCACGCCCGCATCTGTGACAGCGATAGACACGAATGGACTCTAAAGGGGAAGTTTGGGTTCAGCCCGTTTCCTTCGTTGTCCTGGTGGTGTTTTGGTTTTTGAAGTTGGAAAATAAAACCCACGGGAGCTCGGATCAGTTGACGCGTTGGACAAACCCAGGTCACCTCTGTTGGAAGCTTTGCCGCCCCTCCTGCCTCGCTGGGTGCACAGGGAGCTGCAGCACCCACCCACAGCATCTCCGCACCCATCGCTGCCGAGGAGTTGGGGCTGCAGGCAGGAGTGCTGGGCACACAGAGCCCTGGGCCTTGGCTCAGACACGTGAGCTCCTTCCTTGGGGTGTCCGAAGCCCTCTGTATTCAGCCCCAGGTGCGTCTGTCTGTTGTTACCCTGCTCCCAGTGCTGTGTGGTGCTCTGCCCCAGCGGGGCTGCTGTCCCAGCAGGAGCATCCCATCCTGCCATGCAGTGATAAGGACAGGATCACCCTGGGGGTGGGGGCACAGCTCCACTCCAGGGGCTGCGCTGAGTCCCTCTGTGCCACGCCAAGGCAGCAGTGTTGGGTCTGATGTTGGACCTTTGAACGCCTGCAGCCCAAATCTGAATCCCTCACGGGTGATTACTGCCCTTTCCATCTGGGTGCAGATATCTGCTATGCAGGAAGCGTTGGTTTGTTGCGTGGAAGCTGTTGGTTTGGGAGTTATTACTGCTTTCAACCACCGAGGCTGCAGTGTGAGCGCTGGGTGCTGTCACAGCCCGCTCTTCCCACACAGCTCCTGCCCCAGAGCCCGACCTGAAGCCGTGGGGCCCAGCACCCTGCGCTGCTCCTCTCAGCTCCTTGCAGCCAGCACTGCCTGGGGAGAAGCTGCTCAGGGCTGGGGGGGCACAGGGCTGTGCTCCAGCACCGTGCTGTCAGCAGTGCAGCAGTGGAAGGATCCGCAGTGCACCCGCACTGAGCTCATGCTGTGCTGCGCACAAATGGGACTGAGGAAAGCATCTGTTCAGTAAAGCTGCGTTTCCGTGACTGGGTTTGTGTGCTCGCTGGGTTGGAGCCCAATGAGGCAAGTAATTCCCAAATTATTTTTGATCACTTTTTCCATTGGAGGCGAATAATGGAGATGCAAGGAATGATCCCAGAGCTTGCAGGCGGCGTGCTGGGCTCGAGCAGCAACCACAGCCTGCAGGGAACGCTGCTGTGGGAGCCGCTCTGCAGCTCAGCCCTGCCTCTGCAGGGGATTATCTCGCAAAATAAAGCCCCAAAGTCTCCCTGTTCTCATGGAGCAGCCGGGGTCAGCCCAGCCCAGGGCCTGCAGTGTGAGGGCCGAGTGCTGCCCGCGTGTGTACATAGACAGTCTTCCATCGTCCTCATGCAGCTTTGGTGGCTGTGTATTAAAATTAACCCCAGTGTAAATGAGTACAATACTAACAGTCATGGTTAGAATAATTATTATTTTTTGTAAACACGTAACGATACACGTGAACTTGGGACATGGGCAGACTTGAGGGACTGAGTTTTCTATTTTTCCTTTTTTTTTTTTTTTTTTGGACATTTAATTCTGTAATAGGAATTTGTTACTTCATTCCTGTGCATAACTTATTTAATGTACTGTATAAAGGAACCCAAACTGTTACAGATGTATTTAGTTTGTTCTACTCGAAAGTAGTCAATAAAAAGACTCTCCTTATCACGCAGCACTTTCCCCTATCTGCCGCTGGGGGCAGAAACATAGGGACAAAATGCAGGGTTTAGGGGCCGTGGCCATGCAGGGGCTGGGGAAATGTTTGTGGCTGCCCTGGAGAGCTGCTGGCTGCAGGTCAGCCCCAAGTGCCCCCCAGCACTGCTCAGCAGCAGTTACAAGCTGCAGTCCCCAGCATTTTGCCCTCTTTGCCATCCCCCACCTCCACAGCTGGGGGGAGCAGAGCCCTCTCCTGCACCCCAAGCCCTGCCCTGCCTCTCTGTGCCCCATGGCGCTGCACAGGCTGATGGCATTTTTAATGACTACAAATGGGGAATGGAGTCAAACCATTCAAATTAGCATCTCTGGTGTAAGCCAGCAGGGAAAAGAGGAGTGGTGCTGAGCACCATGCTGCTGGTGCAGGAGAGGTGCGTGGCAGGAGAATAGCTGTGACATTCTCCCTTCCCCTGCAGGGCTGTGGCCTGTGCCCATGCTGGCTCTCACTTCTCACTGCTCTCAGCAGCTCAGTTTCTGCTGGCTCTGCAGCATGAGGACACAGCCACCGTTGTGCTGTTACAGCCACTGTACTGCCCTGGCTCCTCACCATGCCATTCCCAACCCGCAGCATGCAGTGACAGCCACACACTCCATGCCAGCACTGTGCTGGTGCCAGTTCTGTTTATGTTCACTCAGCAGCAGCATAGAGCCAGGAGCTGCACTCGGGGGGGTGGCACTGTGGGGACCCGGTGCCACGCGCACCCGCTGCACTAGGAGTAAATAAATTAATAGATGAAGGACACAAAAAGAGCAAAATGGTGAAACAACGCTGGGGCCACCAGGCAGGCAGCCCTGGGGCTGCAGGAGGGGGAGCAGAGGTGACAAACATGAGCGCAGGCAGTGGCCGTGCAGGGGCTCCGTGTCCTTCTGCGTGCCAGCAGCAGCTGGAGCGGCTGCTCGGGTCAGTTGTTGTTCATTATCCACCACGAGGCTGGGGAGGGAAAAAGGAGAGCTCAGGGGAAGTGGGCAGGGAGGGCAGGATGTGGTGTTGAGGGGAGGGGTGGGTTGGGGGGATGGAGCAGGGATGGAGGCCTGCTCAGAGAGCTGAGGCTCCCCTGCAGATGCACCAGCACCACCTGCATGGTAAATAGCGAAATGGAGAGCAATTCGGTGTCAGAGCTGCCTCCAAACTCTCCCCTCAGCAGGTCTCTCACTGCACCCTTAAAAATGGAGCTCAGACACAGCCCCCAGGACCAGGAGGGCACGTACGCTACAGCCAGCTCTCTGGGATGGGGGGAAGCACAGTGGGCAGTCAGTGCAGCCTCCAGCTGGGGCCCAGGCTGGCAGCAGCAGGTCTGTGTGCACCTTCCACCAGGAGCTGCTCTCATCTGCTCAGCAATCCAGGCTGCACAGCACATTTGGAAATGTGATGTAGGAGGCTGCTACCCGCAGCACAGCCTCATCGAGCCCCCACTCACCTGGGAAAAGCATCGTGGTCAGCAGCTCCGGGGACTCCAGCAAGCTGATGGTGGCCCGCTGGAACATCTTGCTGTGGCTGGACTGGAGGTGGCTGTGGGGCAGCGTGCAGGTCAGGAGCCTGTCCTGCTCATGCCCCAGGGCTGCAGGAGGGCTCTGTGCCAGGCAGGGGACAGGGCTGCACTGACACTGCCCCGAGCACTGCTGCTCCCACCCCACTCCCACACCTCGAGCTGAGCGCTCAGCCCCCCTTTGCTGCCATCAGTCCTGGGACACGAGGGGCCAAGGGAGCAGGACAGGCTGGTGAGGGCCCCCAGAGTACCAAGAGAATCCCTTTCCACTCCCACCCAGCACATGCAGGAGCTCCTGGCCCCCCACCACACACAAGAAAGTCCCTGACCTTCTCCACGAAGCTGCATCCTGCCAGAACTCATAGAGGATGAAGCAGGCCTCGTCCGTCAGCTTGCAGGCAGACACGCTGTGGGGACAGGAGCAACCTGAGCTGCGGCCACTTGGGAACAAGGAGCACAACTGCCCACATGCGCCCACCCAGCTGCCAGAGAGCAATGCTAGGGCACAGCCATGACCTGGGGAACCCCCACCACATCAGTTCAACAGCCAGGAGCTGAAATGCCTTTGGGGTGACCCTCACAGCAGCCCAGGAGCAGCATGGAGGTGTTTCATTATTTCTCAGGGAGTGAAATCCAGAGCCACGGGACAATCTGCATTGGACTGTGACAGCTGCAGGAAGGAAACTGGGGCACCAAAGGCAAAGGACACCCAAGGATGTCCAAGCAGCAGCTCAGAGCTGTGCCGTGCGTAGGGCTGCATCGCACTCTGATGTTCCCTGTGCTTGAGCACTGAGCAGGGTCTTCTCAGGCTTCACATCTGCTTCCCACTCACATGGACAGCCCATAGTGCTGCTCCTGTGTCACACTAACAGCTCACAGAATCACCAAGGTTGGAAAAGACCTTCAAGATCATCCAGTCCAACCATCCACCTATCAGCAATTTCTTGTGAGGCCCATCAAGCCTAAAAAAAATTACACATCATTCTCACTGCCACACGTCAAAACAAGTTTCTTCCTTTTGCTTGCACTGAAATGCAGTTTTGTACTGTTGAAACTGAAGAGCTGAAAAATGGCACTTGAAATGGGTACAGCGCAAACATTTTCCTCTGGAAGCAGCCTAAAGCCTCCCCTGGGAAAAGGGAGACTCCAGCAGCAGCCGCAGTCTGCAGGGACACAGTGACTCCATCTGGCCCAGGGCTCCATCCTTAGCTCTGGTGCAGTGCTGGTGCACAGCCCTGATCTTACATCAGAGGCCGGCTTTAGAAGGTCAGGATGCTTCCCACCAGCACCAAACACGCTTTATGTGAAATAATGCTGTGACATGAGCTCTGCCCTGACTTTCCTCCCTTCCTCTCAAGTCTCTCAAAGCTGCACTCTCTTACAGGTGTATGGCACCATCATTCAGGTTGGCATAACCCCCTCTCGCCTCCCAGCACAGCCCTGCGTTGTGCTGACACAGGGCTGAGGGCTGCCCTGCTCCTTCCCCACCACACTTACTGCAGGCAGCTGCTCTGCGCCGTGGTGACCTCCATGTAGGACCTGAGTGCCTGGCGAAACTCCTCGATGCCACCCTTTGCCACTGATATCTGTCTCTTGGCCACCAGGATGCTCTGCAGGGGGGGACAGGCAGTCAGCAGCATCGCAAACAGAGCCGTCCCCATGCTTGCCCTCCTCCCTCCATGCAGCAGGATGGTGCAGGGACAGCAAGCACAGGGCAGCAGAGGAGCCAGGCTGGCACCACGACTGCTGTGCTTCCCTCTGTGCTCGCTCCAGCTGAAAGGGACACCCCAACCATGGGGCCTGGAACAAAGCTGAGAGGTTTGGGTGCTCACAAGCAGAGCGCTGCCCTCCTCGGGCTGATCACAGGCGCACACACACACACACACACACACACACACACCCAGAAGCTGCACGTGCCTTGGGCTGCATGTGCCCTGGGCAACAAGGACAGCTCTGGGCCAAAGCCAGCGAGTGTCTCAGTGCACAGAGGAGCACAAGAGAAAAATCTGTACGCACATCAGCATTACTGCAAGAGACAAGCAACAGGACAGGCACTTACTTCATCTCTTGCTTTGCACGTTGCTTCCTCCTTCAGAGGCTCCAGGCGTGGGCTCTGCATTTCACAGAATCATTGTTAGCTGAGAATTTGGTAATAAAGCAAAATGAGCAGCCACCCACAGCCCAGCCCAGCTCGGTGTGAGATGAGCACCACCTCAGAGGTGTTCAGATACCTGGGGACGAGGGGATGTGACACACACACATCTGTGGGGCTCTGTGGGTCCAGACTGACTCACAAGTCAGAGTCTGGTGAATTGGTGCAGCTCTGTAATGAAGCCAGAGCTGAATGCCACAGCTATTGGCACGAGCAGAGGTCCCAGCTGCTCTGGCACTGAGGTGTGGGGCAGCCCCCAGCCCCCCGCACCTTGCACTCCAATTTCTCAATGAGCTGCTGGAGCCTGGAGATCTCTGCCATCCACTGGCTGTCAGCTTCCACACAAACGCCTGCAGAGGTGAAGGCACAGAGATGTCACCACAAAAGCTTGCCGAAGACTCAGAAAACCGCAGAAGTTTCTAAACCTCTGATATAAACCAAGAAACTGATTTTTGTACTGAAAGCCTTCCTGCTGCTCAAGAGATACAAAATCTCACAATGGTCTGGATTGTAATTTCTGGGTGCAGCAGTCCAGGCCCCGCTGCAGACTGCTCTCACACCCAGCCCAGGCTGTAGCAGGATGGGGGCAGACACTTTTATGCACTGACACGGCTCCAGGATGGCTGAGCTACAGTACCTGTGGTCAGCATCCCAGAGTAGGGGTCTGTTGGAGACAGACAGATGTTCTTCTGTCCTCTGCGCCCACATCGCCGCCCTGACCTCAAGCCAACCAAAGTCTCCGATATCTTTATGTCCTTTCTGAAAGGATAAAAAGCAAAGGAGGAGTTGGGGTCAGTCCTTCCCAGGGCCAACTGCACCCTGGGGTCACAAAGGGCAGCTCCAACAGATCCCTCCCAGAAGGAGGGATCCCCCGAGTCCCAGCACTCCGTGACCCCATGGTGGTGCGAGGGCACAGCGCACCCAGCAAGCACCCAGTACCTCTCCCGTCCTGCCTGCTCCTCCATGGTGTCCACAGCACACTCGAGTGAGCCCTGCAGGGACTGCAGCTGGTGCATGGTCTCCCGCAGCAGGAAGCGGGTCAGGAACTGCTCCATCTTGGAGGAGGTCTCGTAGCTCTGTGGGGAAGGGGAGAGAAACAGTCAGACGCCACAGCTCTGTGTGGCGAAGCACAGACATATCTGGAAGGGGACGGCCCTTAAATAAGCTCAGGCTGCTCGACCAAAGCTCCCCTGGGCTCCACCTGTTGGCCTTGCAGACACTCTAGAAGGTACCTGAGTACACCAAGAGAGTCACAGTGGGTAACACCATGCAGACAGGGGATTCTTCCATGTTTCCTGGCTTTCCCAAGAAGACGCTCTTCCCAGCTCAGCCCTGCAAACCTCCAACACAGGCTGCCTGCTGAGGCTCCTGGCTGCTCCAGACAGAAGCATGGCAGCAAGGACTGAAGACTCGATGGCAGCATCATTCACATCCTTCCAGCACACGTGGATGGGAAAGGAGAAGTACCAGCAACAAGGCCCCAGTATGCAGGCAGAATACTCCAGCAGGCAGATGGAGTGTCCCAGTGCTGCACAGAAGCCAACACTCCTGTAGAAGATGATCAAGGCCCAGCTCCTGCCCTGTTGCAGGAGTCCAAAATAACTCTGAATGCTCCAAAAGAACTGAACTGCTATCCCCTGGTGCTCCAAACTGTTCCATCCAACATCACTGCAATACGCCCCTGTTAATTCAGGGGAGCTCGGATCACCTGGTCCAGCTGCTCCACAGCCAGGCCCCAAGGTTTCAGGCAGGAGGCCGGGCACAGCCAGAGCACCACAGCAAAACCAGCCTTCCTAGATTCCCTGCCAGCACAGCAGGGCCCCACAGGTCTGAATGAGAAGCCACATCCATGGAAGGAATGAGCTGAGAAGGGCTACACAGTGCTTGTACTGCAGCAACATTACTGCAAGAGGTGATCTCTGACCACAACAGAGCAGCCCAGCACTGAGAATGAAGTACAAGCAGAAAACTGAACTCACTCTTTGCAATTTTGGTATAAAGGTAGTTTGGTGCTTCAGGGAGCTGAGTGAGTCCTACTCTTGGGCACTGAGCTCAAACCCTCCTCTCCAAAACAGATTCCAGTGATGTGGTTGCATTATTGAGGTCAAATATTTCCAATTCCTATTCTGTTTCTCTCCAACACACAGAAGAACTGAGGATCCCAAATTCCAAAAGCTCTGCATAAAAGCATTTGGATGTAACCCTTCCAATGCTGCTGTCAGAAATGGTGCAAGGCACAGACCCCGTCCCACAGCCACACCAGGCCAGGAGCAGGGGGAGGCACAGAGCCAGCAGTCCCACACAGCAGAAACAAAGTCGTTAGTGTAATTACCCAAGCAGGCACACTCACCCTGACGCTGGAAACAGCTCTGCCTGCAGCTGTCACCTCACAAGGCTGCAGCTCAGTGCAATGCCAGCTCCTGGCCTTGAAAGCAGAGAGGATGATCATCTGCAGAGCAGGCACAGACAGCCGCAGCTGCTCTCTGTCCAAGCAGACAACTCTCACCACAGCAGCTCCACTGTGCGTGGATTTTTACCCATCTCTCAAAACAAATCTCTTTCCTGCCAGAGTGAGAAGGTGGCAGAGAAGCAGCTGACGGTGGCGTGGCCTTAGGAAGCAGAGCCCCAGCCTTGTCCCCCTGTGCTGCCTGCAGTGAGCTGCTCACGTACCCTCAGCCATGCCCATTCACAGGGGGCTGCACAAAGCAGAGCCCCTGGCCTCACTGCAAAGTCAGAGGAAGCGATTCCCCGTGCCCAGAGCAGCAATGGGAGCTGGGGCACCTCTGGGACACATGTGGGCTGTCCGTGCTAGGTGCACAGTGCTGAGACAGGCTCAGGTTTCCCTTCCCAGCTCGCCCCCCAGCTACATTCTCAGAGGAGAGCTCAGGCTCCTGCCAGACATTTCTGGAGGCTCCAATCTGCTCTATACACAGCAGCCGAGATGAGCCCACCCGGCTCCAACATACACTTCCACTGTGCTCCGGTGTCCATCTCTTACTGTGTACCTCCAACTGCTCCCAATGGACAAAGCAGGGTCCCAACACAACTGCAAGCATTTCAGATGTGCCCTGTGCACAAGCCAGCTCCCTCCTGTCTTGCTCAAACACAGCACGCCCCTGGGAGCACACAGAGAGGAGGGTGGAAATAACCATCCTTCAGGAGCTCCATGGAGCTCTCAGGAATCCAGCAGAAAGCAGAGGAGTCTCCAAGCCTCAGGGCACACTGAAGGCACAGTGAGGAACTGCTGGGCAGCACTGCATCACTGAAGTCCCTTGGGGTTACATGGTGAAAAACGTTCCCTCTGCCCCACATCAAGTGATGGGCACCTCATGTCTGGGCTCAAAGGAGGCGTTTCAGCAGACATGAAATGCCAACTCACCCCTCTGCATCACCTTGGAAGATCTCATACCAGGGAGGGAATTGACTGAAAATACTCTTTTACTTTGATTCAGCTGCACAGCTCACTTCAGGGAACAAAAAATAAAAATAAAACCTCTTGTTGGGTATTGCAATAAACACTTCAAACCCCACTGTCAATAGAACCTCAATAAAATACATCTCACTTTGCTCACAGCAAAGGCTCTTGGAAAGCAGGAAATAACTCAGTGAGCACAAGAACTGTGGTTGCAGAGTGGTACTCGGCTCCGCTGACCCAAACAAAAATCCCAAAGCTGCCAAGAACTGCTGCAATTGTGCTTTGAGAGGTTTTATTTGTTTCTTATGATGGTGGTTAAACTTGGGACACAGAGTGGAGTAGGTGAACACACAGTTCCTGCCAATGGAGACATCAAAGCATCTGATTTGGAGGGGTATTTGTAGCTTGGTTTGCAGCGTTTGCAGGCTAGAGAATGAGAAGATTCTAGCACACAGGATCCCTGTTAGAGGTTTGCATCCTGCTCTGACACTGTTACACTGCAAATGCAAAGTTCAGCCATAGAATAAGGTATATTTAATATATTATAGCACAGCTACCAGTAGTTACGCTTTAAAAATACACAATTATTATATTAGGAAACAACCAACCAACCAAAAAAACCAAACAAACCACCTTTTCCTTGAACAGGTATCATTCTTTACCATGTTTCTACCAAAGAGGAAGGATGGGAATGCATGAACCCGGCATTTCTTTTCCTGCCAACTGAGGACGAAGCAGAACGAGCTGGCGCAGGTTTGCTGCCCACACAGACGCTATTTCCTACAGCCACTGCTGTCACAGCAACAGCGAGGACCAACCTGGCTTCCACTTCCCACGCTCCTGCAGCACTTTGCAGCAGCCTACAAGGTGACTGCAGGCACCGAGGGCGCAGCCAGGAGACACCCTGCACGTCTGTGCCAGGCGTCCTGCGTGCAGGGGTGGGAGCCAATGCACCAAGAAGGCTTTCAGAGGCACCGCTTCAACCCACAGCTCCCAGCACAGCCGCACCACGTTCCCTCTGAGCTTTCATTTCTGTATTTCCCTCCTTGCGGCTCGCTGCCCCACACCGTCTGAGCAAGCCCAGCCTGTCTCCCATGAGGCGTGTTTTTGTTGTGTTAACGCAGCATCCCATGCTCTGTTTTCCACCTTGAAAAGTGGGCTCATGTTTATTTACCTGAGGCTTCCTGCAGCTGTGGAACAAGTGCCTGGAGGATACAGGGGTGGCAACCCTCAGGCAGAAGAAAGAAGGAGCTACTGGAGTCAGATCGCACTTGCAACCAAGGGATGCTGCGATTCCACTGGTGAGACCCAGGCCAAATTAGAGATGCCCTTCTTCCTTTAGCTGGTCCAGGTATAACAATCAGAAAGGTCAACACGATGGAATGGTGATACCAGGGGTGCAGTGACAGAGGGACTAATGCAACAGAAAGCTGCTATAAGGGAAGGAAAAAGGACTGCTCACCTCTCTCAGAGGATCTCAGCTCACAGGGAAAACTCCAGAAAGAGCTCCTTCCCCACTGGCAGTCAGCCCTCAAATGAGGTCTAAGAGGGGTGCAGCCAGGCTTCACCCCTTCTGGTCCCACACTTGAATTGACTTCACCTGTGCTCCCAGGGCTGACCAGGTCCTTTCCCCAGGTGCTCAGTCAGTGCTTCAGACTGGGACTCAACAGTTCCCATATATCTGGTACCACTGCCTCCATGAGCATCATGCAAAGCTCTCTTACATAAAGCCCGGGAAAACCAGGCAGCTATTGAAAATCCTCCACCAAGGTGACAGGCCTGCTCTGGAGGCAGAGTCTCATAGCAGGGCCACTTCAGCAGGCCGGGACCTTTCAGCCTGCTCAGCACCCAGCACTGCTGCACCTCCAGCAAAACCCACAGGAAGAAGTTTCACTCAGCTCAGGGACGTTCCTCTGACAAAGTGGAACTGTCATTCCTCAGCCACGGGGGCACAGGGGATGATTGAGTCAACAGAAATGACAGGCAGACATCACACGGGAAACCTCCATTCTCTGCCCATTGCCCTGGCTCAGGTGTGAGCTATAATCTTCCCACCCAACCTCAGTAGACCCATTACTCCCAGAACAGCCCATCTGGAAATACAAACACGGGAAGGCATTCAGGTCGCAGCACGCTAAGAAAGCAGTGTTTATCATCTCTGGCAGCCCCTAGCAGTGATACACTTCCCACAGCTCCAACACGAGCCCTGGTTTCTCCCTGGGTCACCCAGGGCAGGACATGGAGCAGCACCCAGCAGCACCAGCACTTGCACCTTGACCAGGTGCTGCACAACCAACGTGCTCTGCCCTCCTCCCAGCTCTGCTCAGAACCATCACAGGTGCAAAAGCAAACAAACACACAAACCTGCTTCAACAGCAGAAACCTGCCTCCCTTTTCCAGGGAAAACGTGTGACACCAGAAACCCCTGCCAAGCTCCATTTCCTAGAGGCTGCATCCAAGGCTTTAGAATTTCAACAACAAAGCCAGCACAGGTTGCTTTTTATTTCTTCAAACCCAGTGAAAAAGGGCAAGAGATAAGGAAAATGAGAAGTTAATTTAAGAAAATGAGTGGTTCAAGGTGTGTGCTGAGCAGGGCTGCAGAGCGACATGCAATTATAATGGAACTCTCTGGGATGTTTACACCAGGAACTATTAAATGAATGAATACATCGTGCCAATGCTGTGAAGCAGACAGTAATTGTGCTGTACTTGGGAGAAATACATGAATATACAATGAATTCATTATTAAAATAAATAAATAAGAAAAGAAGTCAAATAAAGCACAACTCTCTCCAGATGAATCATTCTCTCCCTAGGGATTTGCATTTAATCAGATTGCACAGGGAGACACTACTGAGGGTGGATCTGGCCAGAAAGTGGCACAGAGGGCAAGATCACAAGTGAGTTTACAGAGACACAAACACCCCAGAGAGCTGCTCGGGGGAGCTGGCAGCAGGACCCTTTGCTTCTCTGACCAGAAGGGAACTGCCTCTTTTTCCCTACGCACCTTCCTGGCGATGGCCCCAGGTACAAAGCTAAACCACCTCTTACCCCTCAGATGCAGACAAGACGCTGATACCCAGAAGAGTCCCTTCCAGCATTTGCTACTGCTCTCTTGCAGCTGCAGTTCAGCTGCAGTGCTGCATGCTGCAGACCCCTGTCCTCCAACATGCAGACAAAGCAGGATGCTGCTTGGCCTCATTAACAGCCTCAGATCTGCTTCCCCTCAGTATAAGCTGCAGGAAGAGGAAAGGCATTCGCAGCAGGGGTGAACTCAGCTAGGAGTCAATGGATTTCACCATTCTTTTCCTTTTGAACATTTGGCAACTTCCTGAAGTGGCCCTTTCCCTACAGCAACTCCTGTCCCCTTTCTGTGAGCAGAAACTCATATCCACTGAAGCTCAAGCTTGAGCTGCCTGACACAGCATCCACCCTCAAGTAACCCATCCACATCAAAACTCATTGCAGCAGGTAACCTGTAACACCTGGGTAGTGCCACATCTGCAGCCCCTGAAACCCACGTTTAATGCTGAACGAGAAGATGAGAACAGCACTTCTGTTACCCACCCTCCTGCCTCATCCTTACCAGCTTGGTTTTGTCCATGGCTGCCAGGACAGCAGAGTTGAGCGTTTCCAATGCAGAAAGCACATTCCTGTACTCTCCAAGATACGCTGAGAAATAATCTGAAGTGGGAGAGAAGACACTGTGAGCTCCCAAAACGTCTCCTTCCTCGCCTCCCCTGTGCTAGCTGCTTCCAGCACTGCATGGGGCATTCCCATTCCTGCCCAGCAATCACACCTCCTGCCTGGCACCAGATGGACAGCCCATTTCTGCCCCAGGTACAACTGCCCCATCCCTGGAGGAAAGCAGATACCCTCTGTCACCCTCCCTCGGCCAGCTGGGACCCAAACACAGGGACCCATCACTGCCACACAGCCTGCCCAGCCCAGATGCATAAACCCCCTGCAGACCCCTCAAGAGACAAAGCCCTTCTGGAACAGAAAATCAGCCTACTTACCACACAGCTTCTCTGTGTCCACATTGCTGCAAGAAAAACAGTTTTGTTAGATAGTGAGGCTGGTTTGGGAGAAACAGTTGTGGTGAGTGGGGTCTTGAAGTCTTGTCTGGAGCCCCCACTGAATTTACTGCTCCTCCAGTGCATTTTAAAGGCTGTATTTCTAATAAAAAGATAAAAAGCCACACAAGCTCAGAAGGAAGGTGTGAAGAAGCATCGCTTCTGCTCAGGTCCTTCTCATGTGACACCAGTCCCCTTCCTGTCCTCTCTGTCCCACACATGCCCCTGGAGCAGCTCCTGTAAGGCTGACAGACACAAGGCACCTGCAGACAGCAAATAGATAATTAAAAAAAAAAAAAAACAGACTGAAAAGCTTGTTAGTTCCCTGAACCTTCTTGCCACCAGGTGCCAGACAAGGCACGAGTCCTGTGGGAAAACCACCACATGCCCAGGTAGGCAGGAACACAGTCTCACTGCTGCAAACAGGATTGCGGCAAAACAGCCCCAAGCCTTGAACCCAGAGCTGTCACCCTACAAATGCAGCTCTGCACACCCCTGCCCCCTGGTCACAGCACTCTCAAGCACTGCAAACAAAGGGCCAACCTCCCTCTTCCTGCTTATAAAGGCACTGCTGGGGTAGAAAGGAAGGAGGACACAGCCCGAAATACCTAGCAGTTTTGGGGCAGAATGCTGGACACTGCCCAGAACTGGCAGAAACACTCAGGCAACCAAAGCTGCAAAGCAGCTCTGCTTGTGATGCCTCACATCACCTGCACGGCTCCCAGGGAAAATGCCCCAAGATGTCATTTATTCAAATCAGCCTCCTCAAGAAATTCTGCTGTCTCAAAATCTCCCAAGTGTCTGCAGCCTTTTTTACACCTGATTGGAAAAGTGGAAGACAGTATTAAAAATGATTTTAAATGCTCAAGTGCTGTCACGTGTGGAGGAACTGGTGATACCTGGAGCTTGCTGGGCTCCCAGCACAAAAGTGGCTGCAGCATGCTGCTGGTTTCTGCATCTCTCTTTCCGTCAAGATTCCATGATCTTTAATAACACACAGTGCTTCCAATTACGAAAATACGCAAACCCCAGTGGGAATAGCAACGTCCAAGCCTCTCATTTTTGAGCTGACAGATGTCAATTTCACATTTCCCCAGTCTATGTGGGAAACACAGCACCTTGTCAGTGCTCCTGCTGTAAGCAGATCAACCTGGACCAGCAATGCCTGCAAAGCTCAGCAGACTGCAGCACACTGCTGCTTCACAGCCAAGAACACAAGGGCAGCCCCCTGCAGAGAGCAGGCTGCAGGCTCACACGTGGGGCAGTTGGTTGGCAAAGTCCCATGAACCTGGCTGCCCCGGGCTGTCACCTGGCCCCCGTGACCCAAAAACCTGCACAGCCTCAGCAGACAGAGATGGGCAGGGGAACATTGGGAGCGTGGCAGGTGAGTGTGGCAGGGAGGATGGACTCAGCAGGATGCTCCTGCACTTGGGGTTTGCTGGAGAACCCAATTTCAGGGTGTAGAAATACTGGGAGGGCAAGTACTGGGGTCATGAAATGGAAATTGCATAACCAAACCCAAACCTCTTCGGGAGTAAGAAGCCTCTGGCAGTGGGACTGCAGCCCCTGCATTGAGTTACTTGCATCACGTGTTAGGCAGTGGAGGCAGTGCTGAGACGTGCTTTGGTTCATCCACATTACAGCACTGGAGGAGCTGATTAAGGCAGAGTTCTGGACCACAGTCCAGGCACTGCAGATAGTTTTTAAAGTTAAGATAGTTTTAAAGATAAAAATAGTGTTTCCCCTGAGATACAGTACAGATAATCAACAGAACCAATGCCCCTTCACCTGCCAACTCCTCTCTGTCAGGCTTTACTGATCCCACCTCTAAGAAGCTCCATGCATGCCCCCACAGCTCTGCCAAGCTGATTGGGGTTTGAAGCACAAATTTGAATTGTAAAAAATATCTTGCTCCTTCCTATTTTTTTCTACAAGTTTCTGAAAGCTGTCTGGAACCTGCAGAGCTGCAGGAAGTCCCTTGCTGCTGCACTGACACAGAGATTGGGCACTGCAGCATCCATGGCACAGCTTGTGTAACCTGTGCTCCAGAGGAATAACTGCAGCCACTGGTTCCCATCCAAGAGGTGAGTAACACGAAAGAGGAGATGCGGACCCGAGTCAGCAAAACCAAGTGGGCAAACTCTGTATGGCCACTGCTTCCCAGCTCCTGCACCTGCACTGCCCCTGCCTTGCAAAAGTGCAAAATCACACTTGGTTCTTCCCATGTCAGCACTGAAACACCAGCAGCTAGAGCACAGCACTGCATGGTGAGAAGAGGCAGAGTGCAATAAGAAAAGGGTAAAAAAAGAGAGTGCAGTATCAATATCTCCTCCCTCTGACACCTCTTCTTATCACTGCAGGACAGGCATCCTCTGTCTCCAAAGCACTTATTCTGAGGCTCTCCACATTGCCACATAGCTGTATTTTGACTACATTCAAGCCTCTGATTAACGGTAATTAAGCTTGAACTGATGATGGAGGATCTTGTCATCATTATGTTTTCAGGATTTTGTCAGAATGCGCCTGGAACTGATGCAAGAAAACATCAATCAGCTTCAGCAAAGCAGATGGGAATTCTGTTTTTTTTACCATTTAACGTTCACATTGGATACCTCTGCTGTGATCACAGATCTGGTTCCAAGCCCTTAGCTGCGCTCTTTAGAGTTGCAGTCACTCTCCAGAGTAGAAAGACTGGCTGATGCTGTGACAGCGAGCATCAGAGCAAAGACAGGAGGCAATGTGACACAACCAGTTCTTCCACAGCACCAGAGGCCTGAGGGAATTTCCCGAGAGATCTTAAAAAATAAAAGGTCAGCAGACCTTCAGAGATCCCAAACCCTTCACTCGTGGCTCAAGATCAGAACTCTCAACAGACTGCATCCGAGCTCCTGTCAGCCTGATTTGACAGCTACCTCCCACACAAAGGAGGATGTGCTGGATCTCTTTTTTCCCATCTAGATTTTCCCAACTGATGCAGAACAGAAAGGTACAAGAGATCCTCCTGACACTTTCTGGGGCACACTGCATCAGTCCATGCACAGAGCAGTGAGCCCACAGCACACACACCTCAGTGCTTTGTCCAAACAGCTCCCATGCTGAGTCTCAGTCCACTTGGGCAGGACAATCCCATACAGACGTGCTCAGGAGGGGACAATCCCAGGGCTGGGGACCTCTGAAGGGCTCTCAGGACCCCTTGCCACCCACCTGTCTGGGCTGAGCACAGACACACGGCTGCTCTGGCAGCAACCTGCATGCTGTTCCTCCCAAGACACTTTGGCAGCAATGGAGCTTTTCCACTGCCCCCAAAAACATTTGGCTTTTCTCTAGCAGAAGTTTTGGTGGATGAAAAAGCACATAGGGAGACATGGTTTCTTCTGCTCCGGTGCCAGCTCTGGTGCTGCACTCTCTGACAAGTGAAATGCAGCAAGAGCCTCGCTGTTGGACTGAGGTATTGCCAAAAGTTGCATGCAGTTTCACTACAAAACGTTTTCTAAATGCTGAAAAATTAGGATGAGGAGATATTTTAAAACCAAAATGGAGTGCCTATGAGACTAAAAATGTCTCACAGGGAAACAGAAAACCTTCAAACAATCACTCAAACAAACATGTTGGATTACAAGTTTTTTGCAAACATATTCTGATCGGATCCCTCCTTCCAATGCAGCAAACAGACGTTGGGTTACCCCTCAGCCTTTATTCCACCTGCTCAGAACTGAGCTGAACCGTGCAGAGGCAGCTCTAACAAACACCACCAGCGTCCTGCCTGAGCACTGGGTGACACCGGAGGTGGAGAACAGGCAGGCAGGAAGGACAGAGAGGAAGGGAGGAAAGGAGAATGTGATGCTGTGGGCTCTCTGGAAGGAGAACAAATAATGCATGAGACCTCTAAAATATTAATCTTCCCAGATGTCAGGTTTGTGAGCCAGGGGAGCAGATGCAGGCTGGCAGTGATGAAAGAGAGTCAGTATGTGTCTGGGCAGCACTCCATTACCCAGACACAGATAATGTCCGGGTATAAAAAATCCCTGTTGCTGTGTTTCCTTGGGTCAGGCTGTCACTGACAATGAAACAATCTTTTCAACACAGACCTGATGAACACAGCATCCTTGTGACCAAATTCACCAACTGGATCAAGAGTGAAACTTTCCCACTGTCAGAAAAGCTACAGAACACGAGAGGAGAAGGCCAGGTGTGCTTGCAGAGCTGACCATGCTTATGCTGAATTCACGTGCAAGAAGCACACCAGCAGCAGGTTGACCTCTGAAGGCCTCTGCCCACCTTTGATTTCAGACACAAGCAGATGGTGCTGAACATCTACCTCTGAACATGCTCTGCTCAGTATAAAAGCTTATGTTTTATGTTTCCGTGAAGCTCAAAGCAATCACAGCATCTGCAGGGAGAAGGCTTCACTGACAGCCTCGAAATACCTCTCATGATAACCTGTGGAATATCACACAGAATTGGCAGATATCAGGAATCAAAAAAGCTGGAGAAAGCAGCATTGTGCTACACAGCTCAACTGTGGACCTAACTTCCAGCCTGCATGGCTGAAGCTGAAAGTCTAAATGGTTTCAAAACAAGATTAGATTTGTGGAGGACAACAGGAGCTGGTGATGTTATCAAGAAGGTCCTGAACTAGTGATTGCTGGAAGGGTAAAGGCGCTTCCCATATAGTCTTGTTAAGTCCCTTCTGTCAACACCAGTGGCAAAAAGATACTGGGAGAGACAAAGCCCTGGTCTGGTCCAGTCTGGCTCTTCTCCAGGAGACAGCACGGCTACAAGCAAAGCCCTTACGAGGCACCAGAAGTTCCACAAAGGAGGAGCCTTCCCTGAATGCTCCAAGAACAAATGGCAGAAAGCCTGACTCCAGATGCAGAGCCACGGGAAGCGTTCCGTGGTCCAGCACACCAAATATTGACTGATTTCTCCATCACCTGTACCGTGCAGCAGGTAGGTAGGTCTGTGCAGAGCCCAGTGCATATTTATCAGTTCCATTTTACGCAAACAGAGAGCAAACCCTGTTACATCTCTGAAGTCTCTGGCAAGGTCAATGAAGCAATAAACTACCTAATGCATCCTGAAGCTGCCCAGAGCCAAGCCTGCTTGCCTGCCCTGGACAAGGTTTCTATGTCACTTGTGTGACAGCAAACACCACGGTTCACTGCCAGGCCAAATCCAGCCTGGAGTGGCACCAAGTGAAAGCTGACACTGCCTCGTGGAAGGCTGTGCACAAAGCTAGCAACAGTGGAGCTGGCCCCAGGGAGAGGCTTCAGGGAGGAGGCAGTCGCTGGTTGTTTCTCCCTAGGGACAAGGCTGCCTGGAAAGCCCTCAGCCCAGCAGGCACAGAGCTCCAGGCCAGGATCAGGGCACGCTGAGAAATACGTTGTTTGCAAAGGACTGGTTGCCTCCTACCAGGCAATTAGCTGAGCACCAGGCGCCTGCTCCTGGAGATGCTACCTGCTCCTCTACCAGCTAATGATCAGGTTGGAGAGATTAAGTACAGCTCCCTTGCTGCCACAGTCCCACATTCATCCCTCTCCCACGTGCTCACTGTCCCAGAACTAACCCTATGCATGTGCACATGGCTCACATCCCAGCCAGGGACAGAAACAGGAGTGTTCCCGAAGCATCCTCAGGGCTGGGCCTTCCATCTGCCCCTTCTTCCCATGGAGAACTGAGGGCATCCTTGTAGGACAAGGGGTCTCCTGTGCTTCCTTGAAGTTAGTGAATGCAAAAATTTGGAAACTAACTTTGTCTGCAAGGTCCCTTCTGGTCTGCATGGCATGAAAGAGATCAAGTACACAATGGTCACTCCCTGCTAATAGATGTCACCAGCTCAGTGCTGCAAACATCACGTTGTCATAGCTACCATGCTGTCATTACAGGTGACAATTTCCAGAGAGCACTGCAGCAGCCAAGGCCACACATGACTCTCAGAGCAGGCATGCTGCCCTGGGGCGCGGGGCCTGCAGAGTCAGGGGGCACCGGGCAGTTTGGAGGGGCCCAGCACAGCATCCCGCCTCTTCCATGGGCAGAAGGGCTGAGGTTTGGTGGAGCTGCTGCCCTGGGACATCAGGAAACCCATCTTGAAAGCAATGGTAAACCAAGAGATCGCTGCCAGTCAAATAAAGCCCTCTGTTCTGCTGTAATCTGTTTTCCAGCGGTACTGCAGCGGTGATGACTCCAACATCACCCCAAACTAAGGATCGGTGGGAGGAGCACAGAAAGGCAACAGCTCCCTGCTATGTCCCTGGGTTCCCAAATAGACTAAGGAGGCACCTGCAGCTCACCTCCTGCTGCCCTCATCCAGCAAGCCCATCTGACCGTACACACAGCAGCAAGCAGTCACTGGAGGAAGATGCCCTCCAGCCCTCACACAAATGGTACAACACCTCCGCAGCAGCTGTCCAGATGGATACATATCACAGAAAGAGGCCCGAGGGGCTACAGAGGCACCAGCCCACTTCTTTGCCCCATCACTACGTCAAGAGCACCACCTAACCCACCAACCCTTGGTCAGAATCAATTGCTCCACTCACCCAACTCGGGTGCATAGCTCAGGGACTGCTCAGAATTTGCTGTCAGTGGCACAACAAACCCAGCAAAGCCCAGCTGATCTCCCTAGGTAGCTCCAACCTACAGGAGCCCAGAGTTAAGTGCTGACCTAAATTCACAGTTACACTGACACTCACAAGGCCCATTTCTGGTGGAAAGTTCTTACGTAAGTGAAAAATCAGCTCCCTGTGTCAGCAGGCACCAGGATAACTGTTCATCGTCCTCACATCGCCACATGCTCCTCCTGCAGACACACAACCTGCTCTGTAGAGCTGCGTATTTCTGGAAGACATTTTTCAAACCAACATAATGTAATTTTAAATGGATGCTTGCTCTTATGGCACTAAAGTAAATCTGATAGTGCCCGATTCAGAAAACCTGCTTTCTCTCATCACCAGTGCTCACAGTCGGTGTTTAATGGATTTTAACATCTGTGTGTCACAAGAGTTAGGTTTATCTCACCCTGACTATTTACTGCACCCGCCTCCAAATGTCCTCCATCTACAGCCAAGCAGTTTCATATCCTCCTTCATCTCCTCTCCTCTGCACCACCATGGTACTTACTCTGAATGACGCCTGTCAATGCCACTGAACAACTCCCACAGCTCCTCCGAGCTGAGGATTCCATCAGCAAAATAGTTCTTGAACTCCTCAAATGACAGTTTCCCATCATCTGCATTTAAACAAAAGGGAAGAATAATTATATATCTGCAGAAAGAAGCATACAAGCCCCAGCAATCCTCTCAGCAGCCTCTTCACAGAAGCGTGGGATAGCTGGGCGTGTTGTGCATGATAATTAGAGTGGAGATCTCACTGAAAGCACATCCCATCAGCCAGAGCAACCCCATCAGATACCTAGCAGGGCTGGCAAGCAGGGCAAGTGCTGCTAGGTGGGAATCTCAGCTACCCTGATCCTTCCTTCCAAAAGACCTTTCGTAACATTTTCAGAAACGTATTGAAACTACACTTAAATAAATAAGTTTCTAGGCTGGCTTTCCATTCAGTTCTCCTCAGTACAGAGCCTATTATAAGTCTCACAATGAGGATGGCATCAGATATCTATGGAAAGAAAATCTTTTCTTCGACTCATGAGCTCTTTCTTTCCAATCTGTAGGGAACTGATGCTCCTGAGCTGCATTTTGATCTGCATCAAAGGTGGCTTCTGGACCCTGCAATCTACCATGAAAGAGAAGAGCCAAGGTAGGAGGAAGGCTTGTAGAAACCACTCGTGGCATTGAACACCTTGGTTTAAGGGTGCCAAATATAACTCCAGCCTAACACTGAGACATGAGGGACTCTGGTGGAGTCAAAGAGCAGAGTCACCCAACAGAGGGCAGAGACAGTGCTGCAAGGGACAGAGAAAAAGCCCGATGGATCCTGGCCAGCCCTGCTCTGCCTCCCATCACACTGCCTTTGTGCAATAGTGGTGCAGGTGGTGACATCTCAGCACCCACAGCCCTGTGCTGGGTGACACACAGGCCACGCTGAGCTTGGGAAAACTGCTTTCCCAGTCCCTGGCCAGTGCCTTCACCTCCAGGCAAGGCAGAAAAGCAATTTTCTTCCAGGCAGAGAGCTGCCTGTCCTTTGCTCTTCCAGCGAGCCTCTCAGTGAGGAAGGGCTACAGCTTTACCCGGGGCTGAGAGGGGGAGGAGGCAGCAGAACAAAGCACTCACCGTTCTTGTCTGCTCGCCGGAAAATCTGAAAGAGAAAACAAGACAAGGCTGAGAGCAGCGGCAGGGAAAGCAGCGAGCACAGCAGCTGCCAGCCCTCCCCAGCCACCACAGGGGCACCTCCGGCCCTGCAGGAGCTGTGGGGCAGCCCATGCCACCGGGGCTCGGAAGGACAGCGTGCACAGACTGCTTGGGGGGAAATTTCCCTTTGCAAATGCTTAAAACCATTTCTCTCCACTGCACAAAGCTCTCAGCACAATTGCTGATGCCCAAGCAAGTCCAGCACTAGCACAGAGCTTCTTTTAGAGAACGCAGAGGGAGACAAGGTAGGAAAGGCATTGCTGCAGCTTTGCTACAGCCTCGTGATGGAAAGTGTTTAATTTTTCAAACCCCTTAAATGAAAGAACATTAAGCAAAAAACACTCCATAATGTGAGCGCTTTGCACGTCATCACCAACATTTCAACCATCTGCAGCTCTCACCCTGCGTGTTGTAACAGCCCTTCACAATTCTCCTGTACAGGACACCCGGACACGTGAACCCCTGCAACGTAACTAATAATTAATGCATTCATCTGTAACTAATTCTGTCCCAGAGCACAGTTTGAGCACTGCTCTGGGATGAAGATGCTCTGCATCTTGTCTCAAACCACAGGGCCCAGGAGAAAGCCAGGTTTTCTTATTGCTTCCCCTCTCCCTTTTCACCAACAACTGTCTGAAGGTCTTGGGCTGATTCCGGAGAGGAACAGCACAATTTCACAATTGCTGAAGGCTGAGAACATCTTGCCAGACAGAACAGTACAGGCTTTTGGCCAGCACATCCTAGCAGAGCTGACAACAGCAAACTGTGTGTCACAACTTTCCTCTTTTTAACCATCTCTTTCAGGTCTGAAGAAAGATCAGGAATGAAAAAGGGCAGGACAAAGGGAAAGCAGGCTTTGTTACGCTCTTTTCCAAGCACCTGCAGAATAGAAACCACTGCTAAAGCAGCCCTAGAGCAGCTCTGCTCCTCACTGCTGGCAAATACATCCATAAAGCTGCCCTTGCAACCCCAGCTCTGTCCCACACTGCTTGCTGAAGGTTCTGCTCACAGCCCATAGCCAGCCCTGCACACAGACACAGGGATGTTCCTGCCATTTGCTCAGACAAAAAGACAGCTGACATAGTTTCCTGAAGAAATCTCATTCTCGAAGTCGGTCCCTACAGGGAGCTCCCTGCTCCATCCCCATGGCCCAAACCAGAAGCAGGGACACCTCACAGGAGGATGCTCTCCTGAGCAAAACCAGCTCCCTTGGCAGCACTGCCCTGAGCTGCCCAGCATTAGGTAACTGCCTGCAAGATGCCATTCCTGGTCACGGCAGGCTGCTTTCCTCAAATGAACATAGGGCAGGGCACTCTGAGTGCCCATTAGGACTCTCAGGATGGACTTCAAAGCTTTCTTGCTACCAACTAAGTACAGAAACTTGCATTCTGCACACACTGGGGATTTCTCTGGGTTTTAAAGCAAAACTTTCTCCAGGCGAAAGGATCTGCATCTGTATCTGGTTCCACTCAGGCTTTCAGGGCTATATTTCCTTCCAACACTGAGGCCAGCTAGCTCATCCCACCTGCACCCCAAAACACTGCCAGTGTCACCCAGGTATTACCTAACTCAGAATCAAGGGAGGCCAAACATTTCCTTCTCCTAGGCTGGCCTGGCTCACTGTGGTCTGCCTGCAGGCTAGGAGGGAGGGCAGAGCTTTGGGGGGGATGCCATGGGGCTGGGAAAGAAGCAGGTCCTTAACCTGGGGGTATTTGTCCTGGAGTCATAGCAAGGAGATGCTTTTCACTCATATACAGAAACCTCCACTCCAGCAACCTGTTAGCAAAGCTCTGCCTGTGTATGCAGCAGAAATGTATGAAGATCATCTTAGCAAGGAAATGGAGCTGAAGGGGCCCTGTGAAGGAAAGGCAACATCCCCTGAGGCTGTGCGATGCTGGGGACAGCAGGTTCCTCATCCCACCTGCCCTCAGCCTGAGAACAGAAACAAGTCTGGGTTGGCAACTGGAGAGCCCTACCTCCATCCTCACATGCATTCACGTTGCTGGGCAGTTTCAGAAACACAGGGACACTGCCTCAAGCCTGAGAGAGACACGTCCCTTCACCCGGCTCTCCGGCTTAAGCTCAAGGGGCCACAGCCTGCTCAGTGCCTGCAGTGACAGACAGAACAATGAAGGAAGACTTGAGACTACTTTTATTTTGGGATTAAGCCCCTTGAGCCCTGGAAAAGCAGGACATTACAGGGCCCCTCCTGCTCACAGGGCTAGAAGCAACCTCTGCTCCCAGGCACACACACAGAATCACACAGAATCACAAGGTTGGAAACGACCTGCAAGATCATCCAGTCCAACCACCCTCCCATTCCTATCAGTGCCACAAGCTACTAAACCATCTCTCATAGCTCCTCATCCAGGCGCCTCTTGAACACTGCCAGGGATGGCGACTCCACCACCTCTCTGTGCAGCCATTCCAGTGCCTGACCACCCTCTGAGAGAAACACATAGCAGGGGACACCCTGGTTGTGAGGTGGGGGCAGTCACCCAGGGAACTAACAGACAGGTCACTGCAGCTTACCGCCATGCCTCAGGCACAAGACTGGCTGTGCAAACAGCTTTTCTGAAACCTCTGGTATACAGAATGGGAAAGCAAGCGAGCCCTAGGCTCCAGTCTGAGGGACAAACTCCTCTTGGGCTTGAGATGTATATGGAGAGTAATAATTGCAACAGCAGTGCTGCAGTTCACACAGCATGCATGCTGAAGCACTGCAGGCAGAGCCCTTGTTCTTACCTTCCCAAAACATTGGTGACTTCCAACAGGGGCAAATGCAGGCCAGGAGAGGTGACCTGGCTCTTCAGAGTCAGCCTGACATGACTTACCACAGGCAGACAGGCAGATCCCACTGTTCTCCCTCTCATCTCCTTTATCCTTCTCTGCTTTCCTTATCTTCTTTTCCTCTCTATCTCTCATTAGTAAAAGCATCTGGGCTGCTCAGGAGCCCTATCCACCACACACATCAGAGAGGAATGCACCAGTGCTGCTCCCTGCCATCCATCCTACTGCCAGCCCACAGCTCAGCTTCCTGGCAGTGCCACCATGTCCAGATGTGCCCAGAGAGACATAGTCCCCCAGCAGCATCTCTGCAGCCTGGGGGGAAAAAGCAGGCTCACATCCTTCCAGCACCTGGAGGTGCACAATACAAGGGGCACTGTCCGGGGTTCATGCTGTGCTCACACGCTCCCATTGCTGCAGGTCTCACTGCAGTGTGTAGGACAGACTGGAGCCCACCCGGCTGCGGGAGGAGAAAGCACACAGCTGGGCTCCACGAACCCAGCTGGCCTAGGAAGCATTCAAACCGTTCTAGCGAGCTCCAGTTGAGGCAGGAGCACAGCAACCCGGAGGGAGAGGGAGAGAAGCCGAGAGAACCCGGGAAGCGGCTGGTGCGCCACGAGAGCTGCTGCTAGCTCTGTTAACACTCCACATTTTAATTGCCTTAACGACACTCCGAGGGATAGATCTGGGACAAAGCGACCGCCCAGAGGAGCCGAGCTGTCACCACCACAGCCCGCGTTCCCTCAGCCAAGCCATCAGTGCGGTTAACGACGCCGGCTGGAGAGCCGCGCAGCCCGAGCCCCGCGGCAGGACGGGCAGCTGCAGCCCCGCGAGCCGCCCGCACGAGGGCCGACGGCCACGGCGGCAGACGGGATCCGCGATCCGCGCCCACAGGGAGCAGCGAGGCCACATCCAGCCCCGGGGCCGCCCCCGGAGCCCGGCGCGCAGCTCTCGCTCGCCACCGCTCCGTCCCCAAGGCCGCGGCTCACCCCGCACGGCTCCGGTCCCGCCGGCGCCCACCCGACGCTGCCCCCGCGTCCAGCTCCGGGCCCCGCGCGGCACTCACGTCGTGGAAGATGGGCAGCGGCTCGCGGCGGGGCTCGGGGCCGAGCTTGGCCGGCAGCAGACACACGGCCAGCAGCTCGGCGCACGCCATCATGGCCGGCCCGCTGCCCGCCCGCCGAGTGCGGTGCGGTGCGGTGCCCTCCCAGCGCGGTGCCCGCACCACAGTACCGCAGGAGCGGCGCGCTCCCGCCTGCCCTCACCGAGCGGTCCCGCAGCCGCCCGGCAACTTTGCCTCGGCGCAAAGCCCGCCCCCGCGGCGCTTCGATTGGTCGCGCTCGGTGATTGGCATCTCAGAATCGCGCCTGTGATTGAGGAAAGAGGAAAGAGGCGGGGCGGGGCGGTGCTGCGGGAAGCGCGGAGGCGGCGGTTGCCACAGTGTCGGCAGCCGCGGGGACGCGGTCAGCACCGCGCGGGTCCGGCAGGTTCGGGGCGGCCGCAGTGCAGTTCCAGTTGGCCCAGTCAAGTCTCAGTTGGCTCCGCGTGTCCCTGGTGCAAGCCTCAGTTGACTCAGTATGGCCCCAGTGTCGCAGTGAGGGCTCAGGGCAGCCCTAGTCACCCTGGTGCGGCCACAGTTGGCTCAGTACAACCTCAGAGCGGTCCCAGTGAGGCCCCAGTGCAGCCCCACTGTGGTGCCAGCGAGCCCATAATGCAGCCCCAGTTGGCTCAGTACGACCCCACTGAGGTCCCCATGCAGCCCCAGTTGCCCCACAGCAGCTCTGGGGGCCGTGGCCACAGACTGGGCACAGCCAGGATATCTCCAGGTTCTGAGAAAGGCTGCAGGGGTTCAGCAGAGGACCCCATGATGCCTCCCCTAGGTGTGGGGTCCCTTATGGACCCTCTCCTGGGTGTGCGGTCCCCTCAGCTGTGCTGCCTGGGCAGAGCAGGGCACAACAACACAGCTGGGCACAAGTCAGTGGAGCTCCTCGTGGTGCCTCATGCATAAATGATGCCGTGCTTCACCTCCCCATGTTGTTTGCTCTCTGCAGAAATGCAAATGGGCTTCAGAAGGTGAAGTACTGGATCCTGGCACGATGCAGAGTGCACAGCTCCTCGACTGTCCCATACTGGGGCAGAGCCGGGCTGCCTCCCACCCTGCTCCCTCCCACCCTGCAGGGCTGAGGGGCCACGCTCACTGCATCCCTTGTGCTTGTCAGAAATGAGAACTCCTACACGAGCTCTCAGCTCCTTCCCCAGCAATCCAAAATAGAAGCGGGGAAGCCCTTCAGCTGCACTGTGACTCATCCCCGGGACACAGCAGTTATTTTTGCAGCACAGAGCAGCCGATGCAGTGCTCTGGAGATGGGCTGCGTGGCACACGGGGACATGATCTGTCCCTGCTCTGCAGGGAGCGGGTATGCCAGGGCTCTGCTCCGTGCTGGTGGTCATTTGCTCTTACTCTGGGTAATGGAGGAGCTGTGCTGTTGCTATGGGTCAGCTGTTGCAGGGAAAAGCAGTGCTGCCCCCACTCACTGCAGCCAGAAGCAAGGCAGGTGGTATCCCTGCCTTAAATAAAGCACGGAGCCAACACCAGGAGGGGATAAATATTCACTCTACACTTGCATGTCCGCCCAGGCTGGGTTTGGCAGCCAAGTGCTCCCAGCTGGGGTTGGTTTCTCAGCAAACATCCCTGAACCTTCACAATGGATTCCTATCTGTGCAACCTGCCACTTCCCAGGGCTCAGCCAGCCCCCAGCAGCTGCCCCTTCTGCAAGTGGGAGAGGAGGTGGCTAAGGATGCTCCATGGCCACCAGCATCTTCAGAACCACAGGGCAGGGGAGGGACCAGCACATGCCCAGATGTAAAGCACCCCTTCAGCCCACACCCAGCTCACAGCTCAGCCCCAGGAGCCACGAGGACACTGTGTCTATCTCAGTGGGGCCACATGTGGCACAGCCCCAAACTGGACTCCAAACTGCTCTAAAGCCTGAGCAAGAACAGAGGGGTTATGCAGTGCAGGCTGGAGTGAAATATTTATCAGAGTTTAAACAAGTAACACGCAGGAAGCCAGGCAGAAAGAAAGAGGAGTGACGGACAAAGAGGGGAAGGAAGTGGCTCATCTCTTCCCACCAACAGGATGGGGCACAGCTGCCCTCAGCCCCACTCCAGGGCTGTCCCCACTGTTCCGACCATGTGCCACTATCCCCAGCCCCCCAGGGACACCCCATTGTCTCCCAGCACCCATGCTGGCTGGAATACCCACCTGGGGCTGAGGCTGTGTCACCACCCTGGGAGATGAGCACCAAAGTGCTTCCTGCAGGTTCTGAAAGCACCACCGCTGCATTTCAAGTTAAAAGTTAACCTCAAAGGCCTTATTTGTTCGGGTGCAGGCAGTATCTCAGCTCCCCACTGCTTGCAGCCCAGTCTCAAAGTGAAGGCCACTGTCAGTAGAAACCTTTATTAAACACGAAGCTCAGCGGAACACAAGCTTGTTAAAGGCATTAAGTGAAAGTGCGGCTCCAGCCTGGCCTGAAGGCCCCTCCATCTTCCCCACAGCCCCTTGGAGCCAGGGAGGAGGAAACAAACCCAAAATACACTCAGCCTGAAGGGCTGCACAGGAAATTAGAGAGAAAGCCTGGAGACAACATTTGGTCCTCATTGGAGCTTGGGGGTGCACATGTTCCCCATCTTCACACATCCTGGGACACCCCCAGCCCACCCCATCGCTCTTCCCGCAGCCATCTGATGCATGTAAGCTCTGGGGCCAGCACACCCTGCCGGGACCCTCCTCCTGCACCACCTCCCCCCGTTCCCACTCCCGCCATCCCGGGAGAGCCCCTCACGGCATAAATAATAAATAAATACCCCGCGCTCTGCCGGCACGGTGCCACCCTGCAGAGCTGGCCCTTCCCAGCACAAGGAAACCTCCCGGCACCCCCACACCACCACATACCCCCCCCAGCCCCTCCCGGGAAACTAAACGCTGTCCCCAGGGAACAATAATAAATTAATCCGATCTATACACAGGACTGCTTAAAGCTCTGCCATGGGCACCCTGCGGCTGGCCCGCAGTGAGGGGCACCCAATGGGGACCCCTTGCTCCCCAGCATCCTCCTCCTGGGACAGGAGCAGCCCCCTGTGAGGGCTCAAGCACCAAGTTGGGCTCTGTCCCATCGCGGCGCGGAGATGCCAGAAGGGAAGGAAGAAAATATTGCAGAGGGGACGGATGGAGGGGGTCCCAGAGCTGCTGCAGCACAGGGACCCAAGGAAGGCACCAGAGCCACGCCAAGGCACAGGGCACCATGTGGCTGTCCTCAGCCCTGCCCACATTTCCTTGGCAGTGGGGCAGCTTCAGAAATCAGGACAGAACCTCAGAAGTCCAAGTGCGTGAAGTCCCCAAAGTCACAGTCAAAGAGCTCACTGATGCCCTCACCATCCTCCAGGCCGAAGTGGTAATCCTGTGGCTGTGGTGGCGACAGTGCAATGAACTCATCCGCCAGGAAGCCCGACAAATCGTCCTTGCCCTGCTCCAGGAGTGTGTCCACGGAGGCCAGCGGCGACAAGCTCACATCCTCCGTGGGGCACTTGGAGGGCAGCGCTGTGCCTGGCAGCAGTGCCTCTGTGGGGACAGACCATGGCTGTCAGCCCCACAGCACACACCAGAACAGCAGAATTGCTGTGCTCTGAGCCACTGAGGCCATGCAGATTGCACACAAAGCATTGGGAGAGCTCAGAAACATTCAGGCCAACTGGGCAGCATGACCCAGACCACATGTTGAGTGGTGGGACGAAGAGGGACAGTGTCCTTTCCTAAGTAGAAAGCTCCAGGGCTGCCTCTGCCAAGCTTGGGTAGAAGCAAAGCCGACAGCTGGGTGGATCACAGAATATCCCAATTTGGAAGGGACTCACTTATAAAGATCATTGAGTCCAGCTACTTGGCACTGCATGATGTGAACATGGAGGCCAGGCTGCCCCTAACACACAGCCAAGAGCTCAGTTCTGTGCTTCATGCAGCCCTTTTCGCTCATGCTCCTGGTCATGACAGTGTCCCCGTGCCACAGCCCCGGCACTGCCCTCATCCCATTCCCATCCCCATCTTGCTCACCAGCCAGCAGCATATTCACATCCTGGACAGGATGCAGGAGCGGGGAGGCTCTCTGCTGCGATGAGCCAGGGGACAACTCTTCAGCAGGTGCCTTGAAGGGGCTCTTGACAGGGCTGCAGACCCCTGAGCTGTCCTCGGGGCAGAGGAACACATCGATGGGGCCCTGAGTGCTTTTCACAGAGACCTGGAAAGCCTGGGGACAAGAGGGACAGCTGGGACACGGAGTGCCAAGGCGGAGTTGTACCAAGGGCTGTGCAGACCCACGAGGGGGACTGGGAAACTCACCTCTGCTGGGTCTGAGACTTGCAGCTGGGTCTCTGGGGGTGCCTTGATAACCATCACCATTTGCTC